CCAGCCCAATGCACTAATTAATCCATATATGTACTCATCATTAGATCGTCGCTGACAACCATTTCCTAATCCAATCAAAGGCAAAAATTGGTGAAACGCGACCAATTTTTTATGTCACCCGGCGAATATGAGTTAATTAATGAAAATGTTTTGGTCCAGCGAATATTATTCGAATGTGTGCACACTGGTTGTAGTTCAACGGCTGCATGAAAATAGCGAAATATGATAGTTTAAAAGGGCGAAATGTATGCGTTCATGGTGTGAATATAAAATATTTTATCCTTTAATGCATAAATTTCAAGAAACTCAATTGAAGGCGATTAAGTTCAAAGTTGCAAATAATATCTTCAAGTTTAAAAAATTGAACTTTTGAGTTCTCAATATCATTATCGAGAACCATTTTCGACAAAAAGTAATATAGAAATTATTGTAGGAAACAAGTCTTTATAACATTATGATTCATTATTTGAATTTCATTTTTAAGACTCCAACAAAAATTTGATTCATTCTATGACTTTTAAAAATCTCTTCAAATCGTTTGCGTTCTATTGCGAGTGGGACTCATCAACCCATCCAATCCATTAGTTGACAACTATAAAACTCTTGCATCTGAAAATTTAAAGATAGAATTTCGCGCCACGCCCCTCCTCATTGAAGTCGTCGCGCATGCCATTGCTCACCGAGCATACTTGTTTGGCAGTGCGACAGAGCAACAGCTCAGCTAACACACACACACATCAGCCATCGCGCGCACACACACACACACCGACATAAACCCTGAAAAATTCACCTTTCCCCCTCGTCGCCATATATATTCATATGTTGCGGTGTAATTGATACAGAGCTAATTCAATTATTCCAATCGTTATTATTAATCATTCTTCAAATTGGTGAAGAAGTCGGGAGGTCCTCATGATGAGGATGGAGTGTTGAAATGCACGCGGGACACGCTTCCTGGCATAGATTTGCTGCACGTCTAGGCAAATACAAGGTATGAAATTTTGACGAAAAAAGAAATCATATATGTCTCCGTTGACGAAAAAAACCTTCATATTTGGATATTCAATAAGCTAGCCAAAAGCTGAACTCGACTGGAAAATATCGAGAATTCTAACAATGCCAAGCTTTGATAAATTATGCAGACAACACCAATACCCTTTCTGTTCTCTTTCTTCTTTTTCGTAACTCGTTTCAACTTCCGATGCCTTATGACATATCCTTGACGTCCATGATTTGTATTCAAGATACTCCAGTCAAGCATTTTTAACGACGGCGTGGGTTTTGAAGACACCAGCTCGTCCACTACCATCATCGGGGGAATTAGTGGCATGATTGGCATTCAATTGTCTTTTCCCGGGGTATTAAGTACTTTAGCATGTGAGCGAGAGAGTTATTTAAATTGAATTGGAAAATTATATGGTTGTGGTGTTGCAGCGCAACGAGAAAAAAACTTCCATTCTTCATATTACACACTCCGCCGGGACCACCTCAATTATTTATCTATTGCGTATTGTGAAAAAAAAAACAACAACAACAAAAATTCTGTTGTTGTCTTGTTTTTCCTTCCTCGATTTTTTTGGTACGCTTGAATTCAATAAGATGTCGAGGATGGTGATGATAGGGTTTTTGGAGGGTTTTGAATTTCACTTTGATTCGATTTAATGCCCATATAAGGGGGGGAAAACACCAGTGAGCACGGAATTGTTATCTTACGCGCTTGTCCACCGGATTATCTTCTCTTATTATTATTATTTCAATTCTCAGAAATCCCGATATTTATTTCTCCAAGGTGGGCTAGATAATGCCGAAAATCTAATATTCGACGAAATTGAATCACAATAGTCGGCGGACATTGAATTAAACAAAGGCTGGCTATTTTGGAGGAAACTGGGTTATCAAAGTTATATAGTGTGGCAATTTTTAAAAGTAGTCAATTTGAAATTATTTGGAAAACTCTTTTCTAGAAGAAATGCTTGATAGGATTTCATTTTTCGAATTCAATGATAAATTTTTTGATCATCAAGAAAATATTAATGATAATAGATAAAGAAAGAATTGAAAATGCAGGGATGATACTGAATATTGGAAATTCTTTGAACAGTTTCAAGTTGAAAATAAAAATTTTACTTCGTTATCTATTTAAAAATTAGTTTTATTTAAAAAAATAATTTAGGGGTATGGAAAAAAGTCATAATAACAATAATACCAGGTGAAATATTTCAAATACTCATATTTTTAGTTATATTTATTTTTAAATGAATTTTCCCTTGACTAACGAACGGCTTCAGCTTGTTTCCGAATACAATTAATTTAATCCCATATAGCAGGAAATTCAGTATTAGAAAAAGTTGCTTTAACTTTTAACGATCAAAATTCAACATTTTTCAAATTAAAAGCATAATTCAAAAATTGTTGTGACGTGGATTATTCTCAGAATCAATAATCAGTGATTGATTTTGAACTTGATTAGTTGCGAAAAATTTCAATCATTTTCTGCTTTTATGCACTTGCTCATCATTTCTCATTCATTCCCACAAACTGATTGACGTCTAGCATCCTTGAATAATTAATAATTCGTCGATTAAAGAGTTTTACGGCGACGCAAAAAGCCGACGTAATTATCTTAACCCCCCCCCCCCCCGACGACAAAATCGTGCCGAGCCCGCCGCGCCACCTCTTACCCACTTGTGATTTATTCATTCAAGCAGCGCGGTTTTGCAAAGTAAGTCAGTCACCGCAATTTACAATGAATTAGTTGTCGTGTTGGCGAATATGTATAAATCCATTCGGCAAAAGTGAGTTTTGTGTGCGGGGGTCGCAGCTGTTACCATTCTAATAGGATTTCGAGACGCATTCGCCGAGGCTCGGCCGTGAGCAAAATTCTGGAAAAAAAATATTGTAATATAAAAAGCTGAGGGGTTTGTGTGGAAAAAATAGAAAAAAATGGATGCGTGCGTTATCTTCACGTTACCCACGAGACTTCAGTTTTTTTTTCGCATCGCAATGAACTTTCTTTTCCCTTTTCTATCACCCGAAAAACAATTATTTTCAATTAGTGAATCGATTAAAAAAAATATGCGAAAACGTTATTTTTCATACTATCATTTCATAATTATAAATTCGTTTCGTTCGCTGGAAATTCAGAGATCGGCACGCATTCCTTATTCACGTTTCTTTTGAGAGGGATGAATTCACCTGGCTCAAATTTTCAACTAAAAGAATCATATTTTGTTTAACAATTCATAACAAACAGCGAGAAATGAGTAATGATTGATTTATGTATGCTTATTCCGATGAAAATAAAAAATATTGTGGAATATAAAAATTAATTAATTGATGGGGTTTGACATCTAAGCTTAATTAAATCTATCAAAAACTGCTTTTAACTGCTTTTAACGTTTTCATGCTTACGTGACAATTATTGTTAAGAGGTTTGTTTACCTCAAGGAATTTGAAAAACAACCAGAGCCTCATTAACTTTTATTACCAACTTGTGAAATCTTAGGTCTTCCCAAAGCTGATATAACTTTTTAGAATAATTTATATGAAATTGGGCAGAAATCATAAAAATTCGACAGAATTTCTCATCCATTTTCATCTTTCAATAGTAGTTAATTGATTTTCATTCGATTTAGTCCCCGTGGTCAAGCTGAACAAAAAAATAGGGGAACATTTTCAAGCGAAAGAAATATTGCGTTGTTCCGTCCAGTCCCCCGTTTTCCACTATCTCCTCCCCCCCCCCCGCGCTCCCACCAACCTTCTTTTTCCTTCCCCTCCCCCTCCCCCCACCACTCTTTCTACAAAACGTGTCAATTAAATTACTGAATCATTGTGCTGCGCCCCGCGAAACAATCCTGAAGTACCTCGTAAGAAATTCAACGAGAGCCCAAGATAATAAAAGCAACAAAAATGGGGGAGAAGCAGAAAAGAGGACTTCCTTCCCATCCACCCCCCTCAAGGTCCTTCTAAGAAAAAAAAGTAGTTGAAGCCCACATTAACATAGCTTTCCAAAAATTGAATCAAGTTTGTGGACACACACTCAGCGAGTGAACGAATTGAGTGTTTTAACCACCTCGCCCATTTTTTTCAGGCAAGAGTATGTAGTATGTATGGCCACTCATTGTCATCGGTGTCTGGTCCGAGTTCTGAGTCCTCAGCACTCAATTTTCGGGCCGGCTTCTTTTTTTTTGTAGTAAAAATCGACTTCGTTTTCTTTAGCTTCTTTATCTTCAAACTGCATCGTGCAAAAAAAAAACGATGAAACAAAACTATAGCTCCGTCGTCTCGCGTAAATTAGGTCTTGAGCACTCAGGAGTCACATCCAATTTGAATGATAACCATCTTTTCGTCAAAAAAAAAAATGTGCGAGTCCTTTTTACTACGACCTCACTCAAACGCGCTCATATTATTAGTTTCGAAGTTGGCGCTTTGCAGAACAAAAAAAAGAATTCCAGCTTTTTTTTTCCAGTAAAAATTATGTTTTGCCGCCATTTTAAAAGAATAATAAACACCTATTGTTGAGCTTTATTGACTTCAAATTTAGTGTTCCGTCAACAAAATTCAATTTTCGTAAATTGTTTAAAAATTCGCCACTTTCGTGTTGCAAGATTCTACACTTATTATAGTATTTTAACACTTGAGAATAGTTGTTAGGTTCCTTCTTTTGGGATTACGGCGGTAACTAACCTCAGCCTTTGAAATTTCTCCAATTCCTCAACATTTCCACCTTTTCTTCATTTTTCTCGCTCAATTCGAATTCCGATTTAATCTCTTGATCACTCCTAGTGCGTCCAAACTGTCCTTCGAGCCAAAATTAGCGGGTCGTCGCCTCCATTTCGCTGACAGTTCAGCTAGCAGTAACAGCGAGACCGCGAGCAGCAGCAACAACGAATCGACGCCGGCCTCATGTCCCGAATCGGCTAAACGCCGACAGTTGCCGCCATTGTCGCCGAGCCGCTTGAAATGTCGGCAGACAGACGAAGTATGTTTTAGGCGAATGTATGCTCGGCTCATCGAGCAATCCTGAGCCGCCACTCCTTTCGCGGATTATTGGAGTCGCGCCGCCGCCGCCACCGCGCGCGCCAACAACTGCATTAGTTCTACGAATACCGCCGGCGGGGAGTCCGTCGAAAAAGAAATCGCCCGACACTCGCAATAAATATCAAGAAACCGCTCTCAAAGACAAGAAAACTGTAATTATATCGATTCTAAAAGAAATTTGAGCTTCGCACGGCCACGTGGTAACCATGTGAAGCCACGCAAAATTCAAATTTCCATGGCCTCACGGCCACATTATTTTTCAACAGTATTGATTAAATTTTATCATTTTCCCAAAAATATACTCAAAACCAAACCAACGTGGTACTTCTTTTTCAAAGTGCTCCTTCTTTAAAACATTTGCTCACAATCATCACGTAGCAATCTACTTCTCCCTACTTTTCAAATATACCAAAAGTACACCAAGTTCTCATAATATTGTCTCCCAAGGGGAATTTACTCCCTCTTTCAACTTTTCAAAAGCGCACAAAAAATTCCTAAAAAAAAGGGCAAAAAAATAGGTAAATGTGTATATGGGAATCCTTTTCCCTCATACGAAATGGAATGAATGTCGTGTATTGTGTTTTTCACCGTCCAAAAAATATATGGAATGAATGAAGGTGAATTAGCAATTCTTGACCAAAAAAAAATTGGGCAAAAGATGGAGAATCTGTGTGCATGTGTAGACGTTACGCTATATCTATTTTTTTTTTCAGCGCACTCCACTCGAAAAATCCAGACACCTCGACAATCTCCCATCTTATCAGGTATATCATAAAGTTATTTTTTCCTCCGGCTCGGCTCGTTCAATGGTTCACATATACATACATGAAGCGTGAAAACGCTTCTCATTTTATTGCATATTTCATTTGTGTAATGCTCAATCAAATTGTATTCTACTTCCAAGTTTCACATGCCTCATAATGGACGGGAACGCCGCCCTATTTTCGGGGTCAATTATTATTATCTTATTATTTTCCACCTTATTTTCCCTAGAGTCCCCCCCCCCAAAGTCTCGCTCTCATTCCCATTTTATTATTCTTATTCTGATTATTAGTCATTCTCAGCCAGAAATGTGTACAAGTCATATTGTGATATATATATATAGTAATCCATGTCTAATCTGTTTAATAGATCAAAATTTGGGGAGGAGGGGCTCCACGAAAACAGATGAAATCCAAAAGTCAAAAGATGTTTTTGCTTTTTTTTTTTGATGTCACTCACTTCCAAATCAGATTTTTTGGCGCGCAAAAAGCGTTGCGTCAAAAATATATTCAAGAAACATGCAAATTAGGCGATAAGCCCATTAGGTGGTGGGCCTTTTTTCGGTCATGCCATTGCCGACCCCCCGACGCCCTCCCGCAGAAAAAAAGTAAAAGACGACAAAGAAGATGGAGAAATGTTGCGGCCCAACACAGGTCTTAATCCATTTTTTGAGGTTCCGCGGCCAACTTTATTTCGTTTTCCTATTGGAGGCATCCATCCCGTTTCACATCTTTCATAAAACAACTTTATAGATGCTACAGTAATCATAATAATATTTAGAAGAGTGATCACCGTCGTCATTGCGGCGACGCGAGCTCTCTTTTTTGCCGCCCTCAATTTTTTTTTGTTCGTGTTGTGTCGCTCTCAAAACTTTTACGACGACATTTTTATAATCGTGACATTTCTATTTTCTCGTTCACAATTATTATTTTTTTTTTGGCTCACCCACGTTCTTCCACTGATTGTTCTATTGTCCCTCTCCCTCTTGATTACGGCGTTTTCACATCAAGGAATATGTGAACCATTGAACGGCAAATCTTCACCAAATGTATGCATCAAAACAAGCAAATACCAAGTATATCAAAAAGGTAAGAACGCTCCCAAATATAACAAGGATTATATTGAAGCGTACTCAATCAAGCGTTCTCTTTTATCTTTCACTAATCCGAGAAATTTTGCTGCTCGATTACTTCTATAGTAATCGGTAGATCTAAAAATACTCCTGCTGAAATTTTTTAAATATTTATTTAAGCTTCGATATGCTAAAATTGTTGAAACAATAAGCTTTTCGAATACCTAAAGGATTTCAAATTTTGAAAAACCCTAAAGCCTATTACGAATACCCAGTTACGAAAGCGTGGAAGTAGTGTTTAAATCGCGATAAAAACAAAAACTTAATTGAATTTCTTGTCCCGAGCCGCGCGCTTTTCATCAGATAAGCGCCACCGAAAGGAAATTGAGTTTCTTCTCGCGAAACAAAAAATTTTCTACTTGATTTGATATTCGACCCCGCCAACGGTCGCTTAAAAATTTTCATCGAGCCGCCTAATTTGCCGATATTTCACAATTGCGTCCCTAACGGTTTTCGGAAGCGGCGGTTCAACGCCGAGCAAGCCTAGAAGAGTAAATCAAATTTTTAATTTCGAGGAAAAAAGAGCAATTTCAAAAATTTCAATATTACCATTTTAGGCTCAAAAGTTACTCGACGGGTCGCATCAACTTCGCATCGATTCGCATCACGTTGGAGCACCCGGACACGGAACAGGTACTCTTTTAACCGATTTTGAGCATCTATTGAGTTATGCCTTTTTTTTGGTTAAGGTTCTGGTCACGGGCATAAAAAAGAATTTGGACCAGCCATGATATTATATTATCTGGCGTCCGCATTCCGTGCGCTCTATCCAAGATTAGATGATGATTTTGTCGATAAACTCAATTATTACTACACTACTACAATACGTAAGTTGTAAAAAAAAGAGAATGAGAGATGAGTGGTGCACAATATATAACTTGATTACAGTAGCTTCATTCGCTCTGCTTGTTTCGGCGAAGCAATATGTTGGTGAGTTGAAGGGTAGAATATAAAAATGCCTGCTGACGGGTTGAATAAAAAATAAATTTTAGTAGTTTTGATTTGCTTATTTTTGAAAATGAAACTCTGATAGTAGCCTTCAATTATAGGCTTCCCTATTCAATGTTGGGTGCCAGCGACATTCACAGATGCTATGGAACAGTACACTGAAAACTACTGTTGGGTGCAGAACACTTATTGGGTTCCTATGCAGGTAAACCTTTAGTTTGATATTACTATGTTTGAGGCTTCAATTCAAAACTATAGGAAGACATTCCTCGAGAAATATATTCTCGACGAAATCGCCAAATTGGTTATTACCAATGGGTTCCGTTCATATTAGCCATCGAAGCTCTATTATTCTACGTTCCATGCATTCTCTGGAGAGGCCTTCTTTATTGGCATAGCGGTAATAATGCGATTTCAATTCGATTCGGCTTCATTCGTTCAAATTGTTATAGGAATCAATTTGCAAGGTCTTGTCCAAATGGCGTGCGACGCTCGTCTTATGGACTCGGAAGTGAAGACGAGAACTGTTTATACAATGGCGCGGCATATGCAGGATGAAGTTCAGGTACCCCAATAAAGGCAGAGAACGTTGACAATTGAGATTACAGCTGACCAATATTGATCGTCAAACTCATAGTCGGAGTTGCTTCTCGAACTTGCAAATGGGAGCGAATTGCGGACGCCATTGTGGATGCTACGTCACAATGCTTTACATTGGAATTAAGGTACGAATTGAGTATTTTGTTGGAATTATTTGCAATCGAATTAGAGCTCGACTAAATTTTCTTTTATTGAACAATTTTTTTTTTCTCGTTTAGCGGAGAAGAAAAAATTGGCTTAGCGGCTATAACAAGCTTTCATAAGTTCGCTCAAATTTTTAAGATTTTGCTTTTTATGAAAACAAACTGGGAAATTGATTGCAAATGCGCTCTTATCATTATGTCAAATAACCATTTTTATTATTTCCTTCATCACTTTTTACTTTAGGTGCTCTATTCTGCAAATGTGTTGCTTCAATTTTTCCTCCTTAATCACTTGTTGGGCTCCAACGATTTAGCTTATGGATTCTCGCTGCTCAAGGATTTGATGCACGAAATCGAGTGGGAACAAACCGGAATGTTTCCGCGAGTGACGCTCTGCGACTTTGAGGTATTGATTGAAGACCGCTTCATCGATTCATCGTCTATTTTAGGTCCGAGTCCTTGGTAATATACACCGCCATACTGTTCAATGCGTCTTGATGATCAATATGTTCAACGAGAAAATATTTTTGTTCCTTTGGTTCTGGTTCCTCACCTGCGGAATGATAACAGTATGCAATACGATGTATTGGATCTTGATAATGTTCATTCCAAGCCAGGTACCAAAAAAAGATCCACTGAAAATTTAGGCTCGTATAATTTCAGGGAATGTCATTTGTTCGTAAGTACCTTCGAGTTCTACCCGATCATCCAGCAAAGCCGATTGCCGACGATGTGACTCTTCGAAAGTTCACCAACAACTTTTTAAGAAAGGATGGTAATTATAGGATGCGTAATACATATTTAAGCTGTATGAATTTTTACAGGAGTATTCATGCTGAGAATGATCTCCACGCATGCCGGCGAGCTTATGAGCAGCGAGCTGATACTTGCTCTCTGGCAGGACTTCAACAATGTCGATCGAAGTCCAACACAATTTTGGGATGCTGAACACGGTCAGGGAACGCTTGACTGACTAGAAATCAAAGTCTAGGAAGGAATCTCATTTGTAATTGAGCTTTAACCAATCTTGCCATCCCCGTATTATGTATTTGCTTTACTTAACCGGTGTTGATACTCAAAAAAAAATCCAAGAAAATCAGTTCACTCCCAAATTGATCGATATTTTCCCGTTCTAGTCAACCTGCATTTTCAAAAATTCCTCTAATCACATACGCAGTTTTTGTGATTTATCTGTTGTGTTCTACGTGTTGCTTCCCATCTTTTTTCTCCGCTAAAAAATTCTGAAAATCATTTAAAATGTTCTATTTCTTCCATCCATTGCTTTCCTATTATTTTTTCTCGTTTTTTTTTGGCATCTTCTAGACAGTGTCATTGCTATTAATGTTCCTTTGACCCACATGCCATTCAATATTTCATTTGCCAAGTTTTTTTTTTGTGACGTGCTCTTTCATTACATCAATATTAATCCAATTATTTTACATAAGTCTATATGTTCCAATATTCAATGTTATCTTTCCGCAAATATTTATCAATTATTCAATTTTTTTGCACAAATAAATTTTATCCAATATACGAGCAGAATTTTTGAATTAGCCATCAAGTCTTTGGTAAAATTTAATTGTTTTTGTATCATAATTGTACTGAAAACAAGAGTTTTGAAACACCAATTTTTTGCAGACATTTTTGAAAGAAACTTTCTTAAGGGTTCATGAAATTCTCTGAAGCATAAAAAGTTGAATTTGCCAGTCCATTGGCATATTACAGCACTTCGTGATCGACAAATTTCGCAAAACTAACTAGAGTTCAAATATCCCGGTTCAAAAAATCAAAACAGCAATTTTAAAGCTCTAATTAATTCATATAAACTGAGAATCACGAATCAAGAAAATAATCAAAAAGAATCTGAATTATGGTTTCATGTAGATATTGGAAAAAAGCCAATCATTTACCATGATATTTGAGTTTTTTAAGTATGCAAAGTACATAGAAATTTAATACGGACCGAAACATTTTTATACCTGAGAAAATAATGCAGTTAGGTGAAATTAGAAGTTCAATCAATATTGATGTTAGCAAAAAAATACGTTTGAACTATGTAGTTTGTTCCCACCACAAAATTTATTTGATATTTCGCCACAGTGCAACAATACAGACTTTGTAGCCTTCAAAGTTTATCAATATACCAGCGTGGCAGCAAGTCGGGTATAAAGAACATTTCGGAAAAAAAAACCTACTAAAATCATACGACTCTCATCAGTTCTAAGCGTACTTTGCTGATAAGCGCTTGAAAATAATTGTCTCGCTTATAAAAAAATCAATATAACATTGAAAGTCCACATTTCCCACGATGTCAATAAACCATTCAAATCAAATTTTTATCGATTTAGATTGAATCAAATTTATGCAATTGAAAGTATCCCATATATTATTTACAAGTTTATTTGTTCAAAATATCTAAGGCTCCGACAATGAGCCAAAAATCTGCAAAAATTTGCGCAAAATTCAATAAATTAGAAGCATGAATTGACAAAATATAGGGTGGAAAAAACATGATGTACAAAATAGAGTGTGTTCTTATTTGGGGTAGGAATGTTGTCAAGGCCATTATGGCAACAATAAGGCAAGACAGGATTTTCAAAGACTATCAACGTAGATTGTCGATCCTGGCTCGACACCCGCTTCTTCGAAAGTCACATCCTTCAGCCGCCATCCTTCTTCAGGCTCCTTCTCCTCGTCGACCAAAATATCATAGTACCTTGAAAAATTTATGTTTGAGCCACACATCACGGTTAACTGATGTCATACCAATCCGGCAAGCACGGAATATCATTCTTCGGCATTATTGTATGAACCTGGAAGAAGATTGGGCAATCTGGCGACTTGATCGCAGCTTCAAATATCGACTCGACACGATCACTCTTATGGAATTTAAGCTTTAGCGGGTTTCCACTTGGAAAGCGAAGCTGGTATTGATGGCTTCCAGTGCTCGGTCCTTTATCTTCAAGATTCTCGCGGAACGACTTGATTTTCTAAATGAAATCCAATGATTATACAAAGTCTGAAATGTGCATCCAACCGCGACACGTTCATCGCTGAGCCGTTGCTTTTCCTCGGCTTCGCGAGCAGCCCGCTCCTTTGCCTCACGCTCCTCTTTCTGCTTTTGCATACGCTCGCGATCAAGTCGAACACTTTCCTGATATTGTCGATTCTGCTCCTCCATCAATCTTCGATTCTCTTCCGCTTGACGTCTTCAATTATCAAGAATTGGAATTTGCAATTCTTCCGAATATTAATACCTCCTCAACGCAGCCGAATTCATTTCGCTGAGAATCGCATCAATGTCGCGCTTCAAGCAACGCACAGTCTCCTCTGGATCGGAATAACGTTTAACAAGTGACTTCTGAAAATCAAACATTTCGATGCACCGAAAATAACTACGCGCAAACCATTTCGATGACATTAGCGGTATCTTTTTTGAGGTAGATTGTGAACGCATGCCAACGCTCATAGTAGCCACTTCCAGCATCTAAAAGCTTGGCTTTAAAGCACATAAAAATGAAGTACATTTTGTTACAATGAAAAGCGTATGGATCGTCGATCATAATTCCAGCTAGAAGGCCTCTCTTCTCACTAATATATTCTCCCATTTGTGTATTAAGAAGAACTTTTAGAAGCTCCTCATGATCCGAATTCTAAAACTCGCTTTGTTGTTGAGATAAAAGAATAACGATTCAAGCATTACTTTTGGATTATGAATGTAAACAACTAAAAACCGCGCGCCTGTATTTTGGACAGTATCGATAATTTCAGACGTGTTGCCGGTGTACCAATTGTCCAACTCCATTGCAGCGATTGGATATTTTTGCATAACATGATCACGGAACAATACTCGGTTTGTTACACTTCTCCCTGAAAATTGAATATGTCACCCAACGAAACTGAGTGTCTCTTGTGATGGTTGCAAAGTCGTGCAAGGTTGGAAAAGCATAATTTTAATTCAATAATGTCACTATGCTAATTTCGCAAGAAACTCAAAAAAAATTTTTTCTCGAATTTTCTTTTCAAAATCTGCATAACAGTGTAAAGTTAATTATTGCCGGCGACACATGACAGCAGAAAATTGGCAAAAGGAACACAACATTTGAGGACCACAACAAAAAAGCTATGCCAACGTCGAGTTGGGAAAAATTTTTTAGTAGAACAAAAACACTCAAATGAACATACTACGACTCAAAATGAATTCAAAATCTTTCAAAAAAAAAACAATCGCAAATTTTCAGGTTCCATAATTCACAACAAAAACGTTTTTCGAGTCATCACGTTCCACCTTCCACCAAAAGCGGGGTTAGAACGCAAAAAATTAATGCTAATAATGTAATGAAAACTTACCGAAAAAGAACCCGTAAATCAGAGAGAAGAAGAAAATTGGCAGTCTCACCGGAAACGAGACTAGGCGTGCGAGAAATAAGATAACAGAGTGATATCTAGAAATATGAACAAAACCATATTTGAGCCGCAACTCGGTTTCACCTACACTGGCAAAACTGGCCTAGTATTAGCATCGCGATTAACGGTTTCATCATCATTACTAGTCGAGGGTTGACCTATTTGTCCGCGATAGCGCAATTCACCAACACTTCTTTCTAATTCAGGCTCACGCTCCTGAAAACACAAACAACATACGTTAGTACTGTTGAAATATTTTACATCGAGGAATGCCCGTATCGCCATTTGCGGATCGTTGCTGTTCCTCGCTAGCAAATTACGTGCTTCTTCATAGTCAACACCAGTGAATTCCTGAAAATATTAGCTGATAGAATGAATAATTTTTGAAACATACAATCACTTGTTGTATTTTTTGTTGTTGCTCGTCATCCATTATGTTAAAATATGGTTATTGTTAATCCCAAGGGCTGTAAAAAGAAATCTGAAACTAAGTGCGCTCAAAAATTTGACTAAAACAGCAGATGAGTCAAATGTGTAATAATATTGATGAGATAAAAAAAATTCGGAAGGGATACGAACGAAAATGCTCGGTGGTTGAAGTTTGCTTTGGCCGCAAACACGCCTCGCTTTGCGTACCGTACTATCGGAGGCACGTTGAACTGTTCTAACGAAACCACCGAACAGTGATTCTTATCAATCCATGAATTGGTCAAGGGTTGCAATAGACACAGAGAAATCGGCAGAGTCCTCGAATGGCGTGAGGTTTGATGAAGTGGCAATTGAAAATTGAAATTATGTCGGACAATTTTCTGTACCGGATTTCGCCTCGAGTAAATTGGCACTGATCTTTTGACGTCAGGCACTTACATTTATGAAATGAGAGAATAAGATTTATAGACTCAAGAAATTAATATTCTAGTTAGGATTCAACACATTTTGAATATCAAAAGTTCCATTAAATTCCAATTCGTTAGTTTACACAATTATTTTTAAAGATTGCAACAATGTCAGATTTCAGATATAACCAACCTGTAAAAACGCGTGATTCGCATGGCTTATGGTCCGCAACAATTTATAGAAAAGTAAAAGCAAACTATGTAAATCGAGCGCATAGTGCGGATTATCGATTTTTGTGTGGCCTTGCAACAGTTTCCGCTGATGAATTCGGAGAACCGGATTGACCAAAAAATTAACAAATTATCAGAAAATATGGAAAAAAAAGACTGTGAAATTATATGTTTCTTATCGCGACATGATTGAAAACACAACGTGTACAGCGACAAACTGAACAATGATTGACAAAACACTCTCGTTGCCTGGACCCTTGGCAGTACAATGGAGCGCACATGAAACTATTCGCTAGAATATGTCACAATGACGACACCGAATTCTAATATAATCTCAAATAGCTCGATGCTCACATTATATTATGGCGAAATAAGCATATAAATTGAAAACGTTGCTCGTACCTTGCGCGATGTGAAATGACGAAAAGAAGCAAAATGAGCTTCATACATATATTTCATTCTCTATACGAAGAGAGGAAATAGAAAAATAAATAAATCGGAAATAGGCTTGGATTTCCATCCATTTCACAAGAAAAATGATTGACACAATATTAAAATATTATGATGAAATTGATTTCTAAGAAAAGTTGGATATCTATATCTAAGAAGGAATCTCGTCACTGATAAACTTTTTTTTAACTTTTATTTTCAAGGCGTTAATAAAATCAATTAATTATGAACATCAAATTTTTCCACAAAAGCTTAACATAGTTAAAAAAATACTTAAAAAAGAATAATGCCAGACTATTATAATATATTATTCAAGTTTTTATTATCTTATTAATTTTAAACGCGCTGAGAACAAAATAACCAGGAATTATGTCAGTAAGTTTTAAAAAGATCCTTTAAGCTTCAACAAAATGTGATGATATATTTTTCGGCATATAAATCAATGCGTATATAATTGACTATTAAACTGTTGTCTTCTCAAGTAGTGTAAAGTCATACGTCAATCCACTAAAGTTTCCGTTTAAACTTCCGCCCTCCATTCACATTTTTTTTCTAGAAAAAAAACTTTCGAAAAAAACCTTATGCGTACCTCTCAAGTTGTATAGTTTCTCGAAAATTACACCCCCCCCCCTCCCTTTTTTTCGGTTGGTCAGTTGCCATGGTCCATATTCAACGACAAACGCTTGGCAACCCGCTGAGTCCCAACGCACAATTTCGTGAAACTTTGACGCTGCCGAAATGCTTCTCTATACTATAATTATTATAATTATATATTTAACTGATATCGCCAAATGTACCGATTGTGCAAATGATCAGCTTCAATGCAATGACGGGAAGGTTTGTTGATGAAACAATAAAAATCATTGGCTACGATTCAGTTTTTTTCTAGTGTATTATGCAGCACTGGCTTTGCGATGGCGCTCGTGACTGTGCTGATGGTTCCGATGAAGCTCATGAAGCTTGTGACAAGCATAAAAATAGTAAATTGATATTTGAGGCAACATTTTAATATTTCAACGGCTGAAATTTTAGAAAATTCGCCATGTTTTGGCAATCAGCCGGAATGCGAAAAGCATGGATCTTCGCGATGCATCCCTCATGAATGGTTGTGCGATGGGCATCCGGTAGCTCATTTTTCGTTTCAAAATTTGTTTACAATCATTTAAAATAGGATTGCGATAAAGGAGAAGATGAAGAAAATTGTTCAACGATCCGCTGGTTTCGACCTCCCGAATCGCTCGTTGAAAATTATGAGCGCAAAAAAGTGAAAGCCACAACAGCAGAATACTGCCCGTATGGCGAATTCAAGTACGTTGAACATTCTTTTTTTCATTGTAAAGAGAGAAAAAACACAATTTCCTCGAATTTCCGATGAACTGAAAATCTCATTTATCATTAAAACGGTTCTTTTGCTTAGATAAATACGATTTTTGAAGATGCGCATCCGGCGAATGTGTGAAACGAGACAAAGTATGCGACGGCAAATTTGATTGCAATGATAGAAGCGATGAGAAGGAATGCAAGGAAAATAATACATGTAAGAAAAATTATATCTTAGAAAATATTGCAATTTTGATAATATAATTTAATGGAGATTTTTCCAGCTTCAATGGCTATATCAGCTTCACCAATACGTCATCCCGCAAATGAATCATTGACTAAAAATATGACCGAAATGTCTACCAAAGTTATGACCACTTTTTCTTCTACTTCTGCTTCTATAACTACTGCTTCCACTACACCCACTACCCTTTTAATAACCAATGCCACAACATTATTTTCAAAACCCACCCAGACTAGTGTCAAATCCACAACAACATCACGGGCTCCTTCTACAACAACATTACCAACTTCCAAGACAGTTTCCACTACCACTACTTCAACTTCCGTGACGACTTCAACCCCAATAACATCCACAACTTTATTCCATATCAACATTACGAAGCATAATGCCACATCCCCGACGATTGTAACATCCATTTCCACTACTCCGAAAATATATACCGCAGCCACGTCTCCCGTATTAGTAAAACAAGATTCAACAACGAGTCCCCATAATTTATATTCTTCCACTGCGAATAATCGCGCGGCAACACCATCAGCCTCTAGTACGCAATTCCCGTTCACACCAATTATGGCATTGTTGTTTGTGACGGCGTCGCCTGAAACACTTTCAAATCACGTTCGTCGCAGCGATGTGCCAAAACCGATTTCATCTCAAACCGTTGAGCAACTTCTAACGGAGCTCAATTACACAACTCAACGAGATTCCCCAAGAACTTTGAAGCCTGTTAAATATGTAAAAGGTATTCCAATAACACCTGTTAATGATACTGACCACTATTAATACAAGTCGTTCACTTGAAACTATAGAGCTTTCTCTCATTATTATACATATGAATTTACTAAGGAAATAAAGGATTTTAATCAGGCTTCCTTAAATGGTCAACAAAAAGTGAAATTCCAAAAAACATAATTTTTGATGCATTAAAAAGTATACCAAAGGGATTGGCGCAACAAAGGTTGATGGTTGGTCTTTCTCAAAGATTCTAGAAGCCTATACAATGAATGTCGTACATATTGAGAATCAACGTCTTGTGAAGAATAAGATTTGGAAAGATTATGAATAACGATCTTCTCATTATGTAATAAAAACTTGCGTGTTTAATTGGGTGGATCATTGAAATCATCGTTTGATTGAAAAAAAGAAAATTCCAAAATTCTGAAGCTTTCAAGACAATTCGCCGTTTCATATCGATGGAAGTTTTAAGCATTCTCTTTCATATTTTCTATTAATTTATCATGTCAAAATGTCACTAATCGGCTTTTCAGCACTATTATCAGTTTAAGTCTTATTAGAGCTAATAAATTTAAAATTAGTTTGTCCTTATCTTTGCGAAATCAATAAAATACATCTCATGACTTTCAAATCAGACCAATTAAGAAGTGTGGTTTGAATTTTGAAATCTTTTGTCTCGCTAAAAAAAAGCTCAAAGTTTCAAATCACCATTTGATAGATCACCCTTAATTAATCATTTAATCGTATTAAATTGAATCACGTGTATTGTATTCAATGGTCACTCAACGTTTGTCCCATTATCACGTCTCATTATTAATATTTTGACAAGAATTTATTTGACGTAGATGGTTTCAATTGGACTATTGCAAACAATCGCCAAAAATTTTACGTTTAGCAAATCATTTTTGCATTTTCAGATTACGTGCAAAACGCTTCTCAATTTGTTGTGTGGCTCGTTGAAATTCCTCGGGAATGCCCATAAATTATCTCCGATATGCACATGAGGTTGGCAATGTGGGTGATTCGCAACTAATACCTTATTTAGAAGTGTTTAGGATAAGTTGAGCGTGAAACTTTTACAATGGCTGGAAGAGCGGGTGCCCGAAGATGATCCGATCCGAATTTCAAATCATGAATCATACCAATTTATCGAGCAATTAGGAACCGGCAGATTTGGAAAAGTAAAATATTATATTATAAAAATCATAAAAATAATAATTTTTTGAAGATTTGTAAATATTTAAATGAATCGACATCGCAACACGAGACTGTTAAAATAGTCGACTTAACATTGTTTGATCACTGGACTCAAGATCGAAATAAACTCTCAAATGTTCACACAATCAATGTACAATAATTTAACAATATTTTTAGAGGCTCGACAATTTCCTACGAGAGATTAGGTACTTGCACAAACTAAGCCATGCGAATAGTAAAATAGTGAATTATTATGGATTGTATTCGGATAGGTAATCGAATATCACATTTTCAGCACAAATTATTGAATTCAGCAAAAATTTTTTTATCATTACCGAATTCTTACCAAGAGGATCTGTTAAGGATTTAGTAATGAGGGAAACACTTACAGAAGAGCAAGCTTTAAAATATTTATTAGAGGTTGGCTTAGACTCTTTTCAGTTTCTTCATAGCCTGAAGTAGTTTCAGACTGTCAAAGCTTTACATTTTCTTCATACTCTTACCCCACCAATTATTCATAGCGATATTAAAGCAAGAAATCTATTAATTACAAAGAACGACACGATTAAGCTAGCCAATTTTGGGCTTGTTCGGGACCTTGCAACTGATGGATTTGGAGTTGCAGTCTCCTCAGAGATCTCATTGGACTTTCGAGGTATGCGTTTTCATATCAATGCAAATTTATTCAATTATTCTTATAAGGAAGGTTACTCTACGTTTCACCGGAAGTATTGAAAAGTGACCTCGGCCCTGGCAACCGGATGGCTTATGGCCTACCGGCCGATATTTGGGCGTTGGGGTGCACTTTTATAGAAATGCTACTCAAACATCCACCACATTTCGAATATTTTGGGCATGTTAGTGAAATTCCATCAGTACTTCTTGGCTATGCGAGAGAGGACAATGGAAAAGTAAGAATTAACGCAATAAATTTAATTGTAGTATTTTTACATAGTTAAGGAGCTTCCTTATACTTCTGAAGTCTTAGTGCCAACATCGTCAAAAAAAATTCAATTATTGGTTGATATAATGCTGGTAAAGGATCCGAAGAGAAGACCAAATACCAAGCGACTGCTAAGAATTGTAAGTAGTATGACAACACATTTATATTCTAAAGTATTAGATTCCTGATGTTGTGAATCGAAGTGATAGTTGGGATGGAGAAGGTTATAATCCATCAATAACACCTACCGTAAGTATTTGGGGACCCTCTTTTGTTGAAAATATTATGATAATTTTAGTCGTCTTCATTCTCTGTCAAAGAAAACAATTCAAAATTCGATAGTAGTGAGTCAGGGTTCACAACGTTGAAGGTAAGCGAACTATTTTGTCAAAAAAACCTATAGAAATAAATTACAGGAGTCTCGAAAATATGGCCAACTCGCAAAGTTTTTTCTATTTATTTCATATTTTGCCACCAGAATTCTTTACTTTTTAAGTAAGATTTGACTATATATGATGCAATATTATTTGAAACGCATAGCGAATTTTCAGCGATTCTTACAAAATCGGTGTGCTATTTACTCGTTTTCTTGTTCACTGGAATTGTTATTTTATTGTTTTTTCTAGTTCTCTCATATTTCATCGTTCAATCAGGGAGATATTTATTATCGCAAAGCTGCCACTGCGATCTTAACGAGCCTCAATATATAATAATATCAGGGATTTTAATTGTTTTGCTATTTGCATTGTTGTTCAGGTAAAAATTTCCAGTGAAACAAATTACTAAACGCCTTTTTTCAGTTGTTGTATGGTAGCGTTAGGCGAATACAAATTCTTAATAGCGAATCGAACATTGAAAGATTCACGATTCTTTTTCCCGCGTCCCAATAAGTCGGCCAAATTGTTCGGGATTACAATCATACGAGGGAAAGATGATATTCGGAGGAAATCTAGAGCCGAGGTACGTGACTATTCTTAGTTTGAAATTATTTCGCTAAATTTTCAACTTCTTCTTTTTGGCGAGAGTCGGCAAATTGTACGGCCGAATAAAATTAATTTATAATGGAAAATCTTAGTCAATTCTTTCCATTATTCTCTTAGGTCAGAATTTCACTTGCTATTCGTTTTACGTTTAAGAAAAGATCAGCAACAATTTTTCAATGGCAAAAATTCCTATGATGCCTATAGTAAAGTTAACCATAGTTTTATTTACCTTAGCGGTAGTTATTCACGCCGCCAATTGCTACTACACAAATACAAAAAGAAAAGAGTTCAAAAATTGTTGGTTGAACAAACTACATAAATTTGTCTTAAGCGAAGCGAAAGTTTGACTTACGTGGAATTAAAACTAAAAAAGTCATTTGAGAATAATTATTGCAATTAAAAGAACAAAAAAATATATAGAAATTGCTTTTGGCACTGAATTTTTCAAAAAAAAATATAATGTGAAAATGGGTGATTTCAAATTAAAGGTAGAAAATTACAAGGCAAGGTGTGAAAGGAGAATGTGCGATAATCCCATGTGATTTCTATAGCAACTGAGCATTAAAGAATATTAGTTTGCATATCTCCACCCATTATGATTTATACGAAAATTTGATTTCCGTTTTCAGATCTCTCGTCCAATGATCAATTCAACAGCCAAAACTCAACATGATGAATTTTATAAAGATACTCCATAGAAAATCGCTTCTAATAATAATAATAATAATAACAATAATAATGTGATTGTACAAATTATGCGTGTAATTAATAAATTGAGTATCCAACCCGAGAATGTTTAAAGAAGGACGCTCATTGTCATTCGCCAATATGGACACTGTAGTAAGCAAGGTATATGACAAACGCGCTGAACGCCAGAGCAGTTAGCTATAAAGCAAATTAAAGCGCTAAATATGGAATATTAAACACTTACAACGAGAACGGAAACGAACAACCGTTTTTGTAGTTTTTCCTTGTCAAATGTTGATTTTGCCATGTCTGAAAAAAAAAAACAAAACAGTATCAGACACATAATAATTTTTGAGCATTGATGAATAAACTTTTGAAAATTGCTCGGATACAAACATACAAAAGACATTGCCACTTGACAACAAAATCAATGTCGAACATTTACTCGCAAGTCTTTTCATTCTATTTCCACTGAGCAAACAGTGGGGCGTTGATAAATTAAAATAATACACTCAAAACGTTTTTTTTCTTCTTGTGTAAAAATTTTGACGGAATTGTTCAAGCGGCGTCTAACAAATGTGTAACGGCCAATGCCTTCGATTTAAGGCTTCATCTCCGTTTTTTTTTGCTGTTTCTATAGCAATTGAGTGTACTAGAAATAATAAAATACGATTTATGAAAAGAGAGACCATTTCAATTCATCAAAGAGCAAGTTTCAACAATTTTTAAGCATAGATTTCGGTTTCCCATTTATGAACCAATGGATTGAATTTCCACTCATCGGGATGCCCAACGTGTTTGACCTTATCCTTCTGAAATGTAATAATTCTATAAAGGGATTTGTAGATAGATGACTTACAAAGTCAAATTCACTCCACTTGAATGATGGGACCTTTCCCCATGTTGGACCTCCTTGAGCAACAAACTGCAACTTCTTCATCAGCTTAACATTGGTTCCCTTGTAGTCAAGAGCTCCATGGTTCACATGCCCTTGTCCTGGGAACTCGTAGGTTCCGTTGGCTGGATTCAAGTCACCGCGCGCTGAAATTCCGGCCTCCGCAGAGTACGGTGGATTGCACTTGCAGCGGGAGAATTCGTCATGAGTGTAATCATTGTATCTAAAAATTGGATTAAATTAATATTTCGAATGATCCTTTTGGGCGGACCTCATAAGAGCGGTAAGACTATCCAAATCATGTACATTCACGTGATCGCGCTCGAAAATTTTGGCTCTTGGAGATGCTCCCCACTTGAACCAATCACCAAGCTTTTGCGCTTGTCCAATGAATCCAGAGGCTTCAGTGATCTCCTTGAAGAATGGAATATTGTACGATGGGAAGTAAGAATACTTCTCAATAAACCACGTCAAATCGGAGTATACAATCTTTCCTCTGAATTATTGTTATTTTGACAATCATGATTATAGAACTTACGGAAGCTGCTCAAGAACGTAGAAGAGGCCGTATTTTGGCAATGGCTTGTTTGGTGTGAATTTGTTATAGTCAAGCACAGCCCATTGATTGTTGTAGGTACCCGAGTTGTAGAAAGAATAGATTTTGCACCATTCGCGAGCATTTCGAGCGAGTTGATTTGAGACAATCGCGCGGATCCATGTTGGAAGTTGTCCTTCTGGTTTTGTATTTTCGAAAAGCGATGTGTTGAAGACACTGATAGTTGTTTCAATGACGGCAAGGCCTGATGTCTGGAGTGCAAAATCATCCGACGAATAAAGAAGTCCTGGGTAAGACGAGAACGAAGTGGCATATCCAGGATACATTTTGCGATCTGAATAAATAAAAATTTGAGCATTATTATTTTTTCAATAACATTCTCTAACCGTATCCGAATTTGTAGAGTTTCAACACACGAAGCATGTTCTGGAAACCGCTCATGGTGACTTGAGATATGAAAAGATCGGCGTTTCCCGGGGCAAGTTTGACGAGTCCTGAGCATTTTCCACCGGTCTGATCGAAAGCCGGGTCTCTAGTCTTGTTCAATTTCTTCTCCAAATCATAGAAATCGCCATTTAAATTCAAATAAAGAATTGGATGAAGCTCATAAGTAATTCGCGGTTTGAATTCTCGTCCCTCATATGCGTCAATAAGTCCAGAAATCTGGTGATAGGTACGATTGACGGCTCCCCAGTAGAGATCATCGGGAGCAGTTTGCTCAAGTGTGGTCTTGATCCAGTTCTGGTTGGTCGTCAAGAACTCGGAAAGCCTATTGCAGTATCCGGTGAAGTTGGTACAATACCCCTCCTGAGCATTTTGAAGATGATAACTCAAGACAGTCTTGGAGAGAAGTCCTTCAAGGTATCCAGCAGCATAAGCTTGGAGTTGGGGGCAATAATTTTCCTTCGTTTCAACTTCGAGAAAAGTCCATCTAAAACGCGAAGATTAGTCGAAAGTGCATTATTGATAACACTATAAATTTTTGAATAGTTTCAAAATTCGAGTTGAAAATGCAAAAAAAAGCTATTGTCGTACCCGGTAGTGTTCACAGAATTTTGCCATTTTGCAACAGCGACTTGGTAGCGGCAATCGAATCCTAAGGTATTCAAGTTTCTTTTTTCTTTTGCAAATTAATATGTCAAACTTGATTACCATCAAGAATCGTTGGCTTATCATCGACCATGCATAGCTGCTTGTAGGTGTATTTTTCGTCTCGTCCTTCCGGGTCTTCTGAAGCCACAAATGCGGCATAGCAGAATAGCACGGTGACTGAAATGGGGCTGTTAAATATTTTGAAATATATTTCATTGATTGCCCCCTACAATTCAGGATGTTTCATTAGCTCATTGAAAAAAACGAATACTAAGAAAACATTTAACCAAAAATTAAAAATTTTAGAAATAGTAAAACACTTACAAATTAATTTCATCGCGGAATAGTCGCCGAGAAGAACCCTAGGCAAAAGTGCTCGTTATCAGCAATATCTCTCCACGATTATGGTTATCACCAGGTGCACACCTCTTTCATTTTATCAAACCATTCAATAAGGCTACTATTTCTAAAATCATCGAAAAAATTGAATATTGGCGAATGATTTTATTAAAAACATGAAACATTGAGTTATACAAAATGCGACGCTTTGGGGAATTTAAAATTGACCAGTAGCTTGTTTGTTAGTAGTTTGATCGATATTTACAATTGTTCGACTATCCTCAAAGATCTTTTGTATGTGCAGCGTGCATTTCTCTAGTCATGAAGCTCTGCCCATCGGATGGAAGAGGACTTGGAATGAAGCAGGAGAATGCAATCAGAGGCCAGCGGGTTCCTAGAGCCTGACGGATGTTCTCAAAGAAACCGAGTTGATAAGCATGGACTTCCTGAATGTGAATTATAATCATAACATAGAATCAGCAAAATTCTTGCCATCAAATATTCAACGCGTGTCTGTCCGTTGTAAATGCAGAAAGCTTGAGCAGCAATGAGATAAACCGAAAACAGCCAAACAGTCAATGTGAACGCGAAGATCAAGACGTGGAGGAATTGGTAGAATGTGATAAATCTGAAAATAAGAATATCGAAATATCTAGATTTTATTTGAAATTTTAGGAGTTTCAATAATGTAAAATCTCATTCGTTGAAAATTCTTTCTTGTTCAACGATTCTAATTTTTTTTTAATAAAAACATGACAGTTTTAAAACATACACAATCATATTTTAAATGAAGTTCGACATTTTTTATTCTCCTACAAAATTGAAAAGTTGCTTGGTATTCTCGATTAGTCTCAATGTCTAATAAATTATCAAACATTGTCATTTCATTTCGTTAGCTTTTCCACGAAAAAATTCTTATCGATTCAATCTACTATACGATTCGCTATTATTTTCTAATTATCAGCTCATGATAACCACTTTCACATAAAGTGCATGTTATGAGTATCAAAGATGGCGTGATTCTCAATTGATATTCATTGGAATTAATTAAACATTTTCGAATTATACTGCCGCTTTTTGACAGATCGAAAGCATCAAACATTTATACTTCGCTTTATTCTGAACGGTATCTCAAATGATAACGCTTCATAAACAAATATTCTAATGATCTAAAAAAAATATTTGAGTAAACATTTGTAATGCAAATATCCAATCCCCGAAGTGTTTTGAAAACCAGTTTTGTAAAAACAAAAAGTAGCTTTGTGTTTTGATGCAAAAATGGTATGTATGTCAGTCTAAACTACCAACAAAATTTGATCGATGATGCATTTTTTGATTGGTTCTTATTTTATTGTGTGTTTTTCAAAAAATTGGTAGAATATTGGAATTTCATTATCGTGCAGCTATCAAGTTTTCTGCACATGACGAAATTTTCGTTTAGTGAATTATCTTATTAGTCATCAAAATTTTGGTATTTGCTGTGATATAATACTCTTTTCACAAAGGAAAAAACAAAGCTTTAATCATATTCAACTATTGTCGTTCTTTTTATAATATTCTACCATATCACATCCTTTTCAAAACATTTGCTTCAGTTTTTTGTAGATCAATATACCTAAGAACGCATGCAACATGGGGCAGCATGATTTGCCAAACTCGTCCAAGAGTGATTCCGTTTTCGAATTTTGTCGACAGCAAATCCCAGGCGTTCCTAATAATAATGTTTAAAAAAAATAAAACATATTTTAAATTTCAATCCTAATTTACCAAGTGAGCGGAGAGACCATTAGGAAAAGGTTGATGATGGCCGCAACGAAATATCTGAACCAAATTCTAGAAAATGTTTTCAATCAGGATGTACCTTTGATTGAAATGACCAACGCAGATTCCTCCAAATGAGCAATGATGATCTCGACGAAGTACGCAGACATCGCAAACTGGGCAATGGTGAGCTCGAGGTGGGGCATTTGTGTGACAAGAATGACAATACCTATAATAATATTTTGCCATTACCAATGAAAGCATTTCTTTTTTATCTTTTACCTAAACCCGAGTTTGACCACATTCGGAAGTATTGTATTCTTTCCGTTTGGCCCAACTTTCATCATGAGAATCCAATTTGAATACAAATTGAACGCAAAGAACATGATGGGAATCAATCTCTTAACCCATTCATCGCTCCATACTGGGTACCAAGTCGGTAGTACATATGTAAGATGCAACACTAATCCAAGTGGGATTATAAGGACCATTATTCCCGTGGCCAACTGAAAAAAAAACTCCCGCTTTGAACATATAAGGAGTGCAAAAAACTTACGAGGTCTTGTGTTTGTTGCGGTATCAAACGGACGTATTTTTTCATGAGATCCTGATCGTCGGTTGACATATCTGCGCCAAATGTCATCTTCATTTTCATCATGTTTTTATTTTCTCTGAAAAAAATCGACATTTCGAACATTGAAACGTTGAAAATAATAACGGAAAGATAATATCGATCGAAGCCTTTTTTTAATAAAAAATGAAAATGTTAAAAATTGATAGAAAAACGAGAGCGAGAGGGTTATTTGGTGGTGAAAGTAGTAGTAAAAGCGAGTGCCAAGTGAAGAACGTCGAGTGTTTTCATCCTTACACCCTCCGCCAAAATCTATACTATTTCGGTTTGCCATCTGGCGGAAAACTCTCCATTCTCGCGTGCACAATGCAATGTGTATGATTCATTTCTGGCCACATGGGAAGAAATGATAGCAGCTTTTCCTCAATGACCTCGACCACAATTTCAAAATTATTAAAACAGTTTATTAAAAACTAGGAAAATTTCTCGAATTAATTAATTAAAACATAAATCGTAGTAATAAATGGAGGGAAACAACAAAAATATTCGAGCGAAGTCAAGGAAATGTTCAAGAAAACGAATCGATATGATTGAACATGCAATTACATTCTATTAAAGACAGTATTGCACAATTATAATAATTTCGAAGATCGGCTATGAGTAACAATTATGATTGGTGTGTTGGTGGGAATGTATTGAAGGAAAGAACATACAATTGATATGGCATGGATTATCCCGGGAATGTTTTTTTCAATATTAATAATCACGTTTTTTTTGAAATATTAAATTAGCATAATGGCTTGGCGGTCTTCAATGGTCCATCGGCCTCGACAAGACCGATGCCATCGACGGCACAGGCTCCTTGATTTGTGCGGGTATTCTCACAAATGAAGATCACCTACAATGACTCACTCATTTATATTATTGCATTCATTTCATTTCCCACCTTATCAGTTCCCTTTGGACATTTGAATGATGCCGTTTTCCATGCGCGGTCAGCAACCGTCACAAACTTATCGGAGCTGAATGGACAATTCTCGATGGTCGAACAGCAGCCCTTGAGTTGAACACCATGAGTGCCCTCATAATAGTGGAATCGGACACGCGATTGCTCAGTGAATGGCTCGGTTTGGGCTTCAAGACCAGCCATTTCCCTTGGGAACAAGAATGTAGCGGCATAATAGTCACCTTCTAGAAAATTTTCACTTCAAATATAATATGAAGAGAGTTCAAGCGTTATACCAGTGCTTTCTTTAACTCCAGTAACTCGGTTCATGAATTGCCCAGTAACGACATTGAACTTAGTAGTAAGCCCTCGAATGGATTGAGTGGTATGGGCATCCTTGTACGAGCAGATGTTCTCATCTTCGAAATCGCATTTCGTCACATTGCAAACCGTTTCGGAGAACTGTGCGCTCTTGGCACCCTTGGCAACGACGTGTCCGTTTGGAAGTTTCGCTCTGGAATTTCGAAAAAAAATTGATTGTACAGAACAACGACCCCAATCACGTTTTCACACTGGCGAACACCGTTTCTTCAGCATGATCGGTTCCAACGGCGGCGTTTCCCTGTTCCGTGCCAAATGAACTGGCAACCTTCGCGCCGCCAAACGCCTTTTCGCCGCCGCGGAATCCGCCGGATCCGAATCGCTCGTTCGCTGGTACCAAATGCCCCTCGGTTTGCGTCTTCTCATTGAGTTCGCGACGCTTATCGGCACTTGTCGGATGTTGTTTGTTGCTCTCGACGACTTCCTCTTCGAGTCCATTCTCCTCAAACTCGTTCTGACATTCATCTCCATTTCGGTCGTACGAGACTTCGATATCATCAAGGATTGCAATGTCGCCTTGTTCGCCGATAAAGTTCGAAGCCACGAACACAATCTTAAAAAGTTTTTTTTCTTCGCGTTTTGCTATGGAACACAATAAGCCGCTTACATCAACAAGCGAGGTCTTTGGAAGAATGACTTCAGTGGTTCCGATTCCATTAACATATGGGAATTCTTGACAATTCAATAGTGGATTTCTGTCGGCGTTGCTTGGGAATGATTCGCGTAGGCAAACTTGAAGAAGGACATTTTCTGATTGCCAATGCCTGAAGATTCGAATAAGTGATATGATCTTTTGATCTCAAACTCACTTGGCCCGAACGACAATGTCGCTGGAAGCGCATCCAATGGAGCAGGAAGCGAATTGAGCTTCATCCGATGGAGCAGCAGTTTTAGCATAAGCAACAAGATAAGTGCCATCTGCAATATTAATTTCAAATTAAAATCCATTGATTTTCATTCAATATCCCTTCAATTTTATTAACTATACATGTTTTGCGGATGACCATAGAAGATGTTCATGCTAATTATACTGCCGTAAATGGCTTTTTCGCCCCGGATCAATAACTTGTTTCATTCGCCGTCAGTGTCGTAAAGGATTTGACGCGGTTCATTCGCATCGTAAAATAATATAGTGTACAGTCGAGTTCACCTGGCGTTGGGACACCGCGATTCTGAAGTTGAACTGGCACACCATTGGCAACCTGCCAATCGAGCTGATCATCCGGTGACGGCACATTTGCCCAGCAGCACGGTCGATTATCGAAATTGCATGTGAGGGCGTTTCCTGGAATGTTGTTCTTATCTGTTTGATGATGCGCATTGGTTCATGAATCATCCATCTTTCGAACTGGCTTCTCCAGCCAAGAAAAAAAAATGCCCCATGTTCGGATATGTCATTGTCTCTCGAAGAATAAAAAGCGAAACCTGATTGAACTGGACCTCCACCCTCAGCGTTGTAGCCATCAGCAGTGAACTCGGTGAGCGAAACTTTCTGTCCAAGTAGACCTGAAAGAGGAATGATATTATTCCTTGCCCCCCACCAATTGCGAATTTTTTTTTCCATTGGTTCGCGACACCATCAAAACGTAAATCTCATCTAATCGCCCTAGATTTTCGATTTCAACGTCCTTTCACCGATTAACAAACACACATTTCGGACATTTGATGGCCACCTTGGCAATTTTTTTGGCGAGGCGCATTCAACAAGAAGATCAGATGATTTCGGAAACGGACTGTATCTGTCACGACATTCCGATGAAATTCAATCAGATTATAATAATTGTTTAAAATTTGGAATTTAATTATGGAACGTACAATAAAATTAGTTGCAAAAATCTCAAAGACTGCTTGTGTGTGTGTGATTTTTCTTCTAAAACCAAAAACATACTTTCAATAGCGCTTCCTTTGACGGCGATTGGTTCGGTGGGCGTCTTTCCAGCAGCTCTCGCGGCGGCAGCAGCAGCAACCTGTTGTGGAGCAGCACCTTGAGCCTGAGAACAACCGCAGCATTGTGGTGTGCACTGAAAAAAAAAAAAACAATGGTTAGAAAAAAAAACAATGGTTAGACATAAACAACATGCAAAAAGGACGGTTGGAGGGGGAGAAGGGTCATCGGCGACGAGTTCGGCTAGGTATGAGCGCTGACGATACTATATCAAAACGATTTTCTAAAAAAAATTATAAAGAAACGGTTGGTTTTGAACGGGACAAAAAATCAAAAAGAAAACGACGTCCCCCAAATAATTCACACCATGCACACATTCAATGATTCAACCCCTCATATCAAAAACCATGCACAATACCACATTTACAGTCACTCGTTCCATCAATACAACATTAAAGACTTACGCCTCCAAATTGCTGAGTTGGAGCACCATATTGATATTGTCTCTGAGAAGTTGGGAAGCAGGCGAATGTGCCTGAAAGAAGCAACCCCTTCACATTTCTTTAACGTAAGCCTTTTTATTATGTCTTTCTTTTTTTTTGAGATTGTCGGTATAGTTGATCCGTCAATATATACCGGTCTTGAAGCTTTTCACCAAAATCCTCGAATCTCGCGATATCTTTCTCTCGCAAAGCTTCTCCTCGCTTCATATTTGGATTGACGTTAAATCGCCTTGACCGCTGGCGGGGGAGTATGAATGGACAAAAAAAAAGTGCGACAGAATGAAGAGAAGCTGCGCGGGTGATTCTCGGAGGCTAATAAATGTCGATGTATTGTTTCGTAACACCGCCGTGTCTCCATAAATGGTCAGCATAGTTTTGACAATGTTATTGCGACACGTTCGGGAATCGTATTAATTTGTCCGGAGAAATGTGAAAGTGCTGATGATTTAAGAAAAAAAAATGTGTTGTTGACATGATTTCGTTGACTACTATATTTGGGACACTAAGACTAATTATATGGAGATGATTTGAATACGAACATTTTAAACGGATGGGAGGTTGTCACAAGTTTTTTTTAAAGACAATTAATTTAATGTTGCATTTAAAAAAAATATAATTTTCAACTGAGACAACCTAGCTAGAACAAGCTTGGCTGATATATTTGAATCTTTAAACTCAAAATGCGTTCATTCTCAATACTTTGAACTTCACGATATCTCAACAAACTCTTCCGATTGTTGAAACTTTCATCTTCTACAACTCACATTAAAATGTCATCTACATTGTCTCGATTTCCCAGCGATTAATCTTGTTTCCTAGTATTTAACCTCATAAACGCAGGAAACAATATTGGTCGATGTTCATTACATTCTGTCGACTATTTTTCCAATAAATTTGCCATCAACTTTCACCCCGTGTTTATTGGTCATTTTCACGCAAGATTAAGAAAGTTGATCGATTAGAAAAAAAAACAACACAAATATTCGACCAATCTCGTCGTCGCATTGATGATGTATGAATGTACAAACAGCCACCCACATTTGTCTTCATTTTCAACAAATATCGGTCATTCCTAAATGACGGCTGTTGCCGCCCCGCCACTGCGCACTTGAATTTTGTCGGGAAAAATAAGACATGCTATTTGAATTGGTGATTGCGTGCAGACAAATCTAGGTTGACCGCACCCATTGTTATTGTGAGATTCGAACTTTTTTTTTACTCAACTCCTTGATGGGTATGTATGTTGGCCAAAAAAATGGGGTCGAATGATGTTTGTTTAAGGATGATAATTCTGGAAAAATCACGAACCTTGAACGGCCAGCAGTAGGACAGCTAAGCGCCTCATGGATCTGCAAAAATTTTCATTGAGAATTGATACTTTGAATTCAAATTGGAAAGAATTTGGCGGATCGTTAAAAACGATGAAAAAAAGATTTGAAAAAAATATATATGAAGCGGCATGCTGCTTCGGACTGAGATAAGGATAAGTTCGAAGCGAGGTGCGCCGAGCGGGGCGGAGCTAATCGCACCTCCCAACTATGATCTTGACGACGAAGACTGGCCGCCGGTCTTCCACTTCTCCTCTCCTCCCCCTTTCATCCATCCATCCATCCATCCCCCTTCTCCTCCTCCATCAAAGCTGCTGTCTGACCCGATTCAATGATTGAAAGGAGATTTGAATCCAGTGTTACTAGCCAGTCGACAAAAGCGCCATGGGATTAAAAAATGCATGCCGACGTCCCGTTGGACAACCCATAATCTGAGGTTAATTCGAATATAGTCAAATCGAGGGTGGAGGTGGGAAGTGAAAATATGGGATTCGGAGGATAAGGACACCCATATTAAAATGGAAATTATGAATGAATGGTTTTCAATTTTATGGGATCCAATACGCATAAATATTTCAAAAGAAATGCAAATCGAAAAAAAAATGATTAGTTTATTTCAAACTTCGGAAGGCAAGAAGAACAATTTTTGAAATTCAAATGGTTGGAATTCCTTAAAGCGAACCTGCTCAAGTCTTTATTAGAATAGTCAAATTATAAATTTCCAAACACTTATGATAAAACCAAAACTAGAATAAAATTTTTGAAATTGTGTGTTTGATTAAAAAGGTTTACAGTATCCATTTTTGGCTTGAAGCATTCAAACAAATTATACTATTCCACTCTTTCCACCAATATTCGAAATTTCAAAATTTTTTCTCTTTTTTTTAACGAGAGGATTAGTGCTACATTTTTGAAAGATTTTCAATATTGGAAAAACTTTCGAAAGGCATCGTAAATAGTCAAAATCATCTAAGATTAAATAAATTTAAAAATTTTAATTGAGTCTTAATTTATTTCCAGGCTTGTTTAATTTCAGATCTAGTTAATTTAAATCGTCTTCTAGCTGTATTATGTACATTGAAATTCTTAAAAAACAAATCGTGTGACGTGATGTATCATAATAATTCTTAATTGTTTCATCAGAAATCACATCTTCCGAAGAAACTCATATGGTATCCCATTACCACATGAAAAACTACTGTTTGATAAGATTTTAATTATTTATCGGAACATTGATAAGATAAATTCGTGAGATTGTGAAAATCGCCAATGGACCTTCCGGATATTCTCATCGTGATTTCTAATGTACTATTCGCGCGATGTTTCCGTTCCGGATACAATACCTCATCAATTATGATCAGATGAAACCTCTGACGGCATTAATGTTGTTTCCCTTTTCTCTTTTGTCGGCGCAAGCGAATTGTCGTCTGTTTTTTTTTGCGCCTCGCGCCTCGGCTTTTTCTTGTCGTTCTCGCGTTCGCGTCGCCGCACAGTAGCCATTCAGTTGTCGAAAAGCTTGTCGGAATTTCCCGTGACACGACGACGACGATTTCGCATCAAAAGAACCATCATCATCGTTGCCGCCCCGCCCTAGCCCGCTTCTACCCCCCCTCCCCCCCACCCCGGCGAAATTCTTTCGATGTTTTCGATTTCGAATTGCGACAGCGTAATCGTACAAAACGAGTGGAGACGCCAAAAAAAAATAATGAAGTCGAGAAAAAGTGGAAGTTGTTGAAAGAAGACAGCGATTTATTACCATTACTATTATCAATATTATTATGAGAAAAACATTAAGAGAAAGATTATGATCAACCCGTAGACGTTTTGAGTTCTGAAATCCCATACGCTTCAAACGACTGAGTTTTGAGTTTGTGATTCTACACTCTTTCTTGTCGAACAGGTGCGCGTGATCTGAAATTCTGCATATAATTGTTAGATTATGTGGCAGCATTGCATTGGATGATTAAAAAACCCATTGGAATGAATTGCCTAATTCAATTAGACTCAGATTTCATTAATTAGTGTATGGTGTCCATCCCGCGCCTTATTGCCGATAGTAGACTGTATTACGGTTGCAGCCATTGAAGGAAATACTAATATAATTTAAATGCTACCGTATATTTCAAGGGGGCAAAACGTGAGGTGTCAAACCTGCTCTATTGCTAATTATTCAATATGCATGCCTAAATGCTTTCAATTTTCCTCATCATTAATTTAATGGTTTTGCTGATATCGAAATTTTCAACAAATAAAGAGAACTACCGGTCTGCGGGTTCCTTTCAGCGAGATTGTCACTTCAGTTTCTCGTTTTATTGGTGGTACACTTGAAGCTTTTCGCCTATAAAAATGCGCAAAACTCGATTTCTCGTTTTGTATTCATTTCTTTTTCAAATCCATACGTGACACTTTTATGGCGTCGCACGTTGCCATCTTTCGAGCGCGACCGCGACAATGTACGTGATCGTAAATCGGTCCATTGTGACCGTAATTGGCGGCGAAGCGCCGGCGTCCGAAGCACAACAATAAGCGGATTCAAAACTGGATCGACGAATGCCAAGATTCTCGTCAAGTGGTACCTTGAAATCAGCAATGTGAATCGTCGCGTCTCGATGAATGTTTACCATTTTGACAGCTTCGCAATATCCTCCCTATCGTTAACCCAAAAAACAGCAATTTCAATATAAGTTTGTCCGAGAACAGAGAAGAAAAAGGTGACGATCGAGAGGATCAGAGTGTGAAATAATCGTTCCCTTCGACGATGTGGTGATTGAGCTCGAGCACGTTTCCGGCTGCTATACAATAAAATGCACATTTCCATAGAAAACCCATATTTAAGACCTCATCTCATTGTGAATAATGTCATGTTGCCGGCGAACTTTGATATGGTATGTCACAGTGATCACGAAAATCACAATTGAAGCGGAAAGAAATAGAACGGTGAACAACGTGTGACCCTGAAATTCAATTTTCTGGCTAAATTTTTGAATAAGGCATGCAAATTCGATCAAGATATGCAAGTTCTCGCCATTTATCTTGGATTTACAATTGCCATCTTACCCTTAATAAGTATGCCCCAAATGCATGAAAGATTGCTGTCCGATCGCAATGCGCCGCAATCTCCTCATAGCCCGAGTTTTGAGCACTTGAATAACAAAAAAAAATCAATGCGTGATTGGAACCGAATGCGGAACTTACGCATTGCAACTCAGCGATACTCGACCTTTTGCTAGCGTCGAAAAAAGTTCGTCGAGATTTTGAATCGCGCTCATCTTCAAACCATCTTATGCCCATTTATTGAATTAAACTTGTGATTTGTTACCTGCATTGTTGAGAACATCGCATGTGAGGCAATTAGAAATATCCAAACGCAAGCGAAAACTGAGATCACCGAAATTTTCGACAAATGTATCGATTTGCCAGACATTGACCGGTTAATAACCACCTAATTAGCATTTATTTCTTATTTCTGTGCATTCGACTGACCAAAACAAGAACCAGCAGATGAATAAGGCCAGTTAGACTACCATTCTGTGCCAGCGAATAGAGAGTTTCCTGTATCAAATGCTTTCGGAACTCGGCAGAAGCGAACAAATGAGTTTGCAACGTCTCAGCGACAATTAGCTCCGGCTTTTTCTCTTGATACTGCAAATTTCAAATGTGAATCGCCATCTCCACAAAATTTCCACAAACATCTTCGTTCACTGCTCCATAACTTTTACTGGAGATCAGATCGATGAAGAAGAATGAGAATGACATCATGAATAAAACATTTGAAAACATTATATTGAAGACGAATAGAACGGTGGCCGTCGAGAGATTTTTTCTCGTCTACAAACATCCATAAAGTGCTGAATAAATTAACTTTTGACCCGAATACCTTGAGAAGTAGAAACGCGAGGAGAACCGTGTTGAAGAAAACCGCAATGAGAAGAACCGCTTCAACGCGAAATCCGAGGAGTGCATATTCAGCAAGACTTCTAAAAATGTGCAAAAATTTGGTAACCTGCTTGTCAGTCCTGAATACCGATAGCTCCGCTCGTTGTTCAAATCACAAATGTGAATGTTTCCTGACGGGCAACAATTGTGAGTAATTAGATTACTCAATCTTAGAGATCTGAATAATTAAAATTACAAAGGACCAAGGTATTCAACTGTATAATTACAGTTCTAAAATTTTCATAAAATACGAAAGCGGCTCATTTTAATTAATTTTTTATAGCTGAATATCCAATTTGTATGTTTCAATTTCTCCCTCCTCCCTTTCCATTTCAATCTCAATCATCTTCTTAAAGGGTAACTCACTTATCCTCCTCAGTCTCATTCACAAAGCTTTCTGCATGAAGTGCATGGGTTTCCATTCGACAAGCTTTCACCGTCTCTAATTGGTTCCACAATTTTATTGCAGCCAATGAAAAGTGTTGGAGTAGAAGCCTTGTCTAAATATGAGTGGAATCATGTTGCCAGGATATGCTCTCACCTTAAGGACAAGAGACGGCAGCTCCGAGTCTGAATGAATATTTGAGACTAAGTTCGAACTGAGAAGATTCATGAAAGTCACGTCTTCGGTTAAAGCTAATCCAATATTTGATATGGTGTTATTCCTTTTCACAAATTCATCAAATGTGTCACATGCTGAAATTCCCAAACAAGTTTCGTTGTTTTGCCTTTTATTCAAATTGTAAACTTCGTGAAAATCGCTGAAAGAAATCCTGAAATTTGAGCAACGGCGCCGAAATTCCATTGCAACGCTGAAAATCATAAATTCGCGATGACGCACGACGAATATCGCCATTTGTTTTTGTCGATTGCCTACAATTTAACCGACCGACCTCTTTTATTTTTGACTGCCTCTTCTCAACATGCGGCACATAACATCGACCATACAAATCGGAGTATACATCGGATATGCGATCGCAAATCAACCTAATAAAACAAAAAATTATATCCATCTTTTATTCTCTCGATTTTTATTATTTGTTACTAACTGTCTATCCGGATTGTCGACTTGATACAACGTGTTGAATATTCCGGAGTACACGTATAAATAAAAATGTTCTTTCTGCGGTATCAAATGGCCTTTTTCACAAATCTGCAAAAATCACGTTATCTTCAAACCGCATTTGGATTATAATGAAATCTGATATTGATCCTGTATGATTGCAGTGATTGCAAAATTATTTTCGTTGTCGGCTTTTCGATGATGTCGAAAAACTAGCTTACCAGCGCATATGTATATTTGAGGAATCTGAGTTGAAATCGGCGATCGTAATCTTTTTGTCGTTTATTGGGATATTTGAAGATTTGATTCACTTCGCAGCCTCTGAAGGGATTTTTGTCTTCATGGAAAATTGCAAATGAAATATATATATATATATACCTTAATGATTTTAAGAACCATACAATGGCATGATGCTTGTTTGGGACAAATCGAACATAGTCCGGCCAGCATAGTATATATTTTTCCAAATAAAATTTTAGCTGAAACCGATGAAAATTGCCCATCGGGCTCATTGAGCTCTCGACTCACCACTCCTCCATCATTATTGTTCAGAAATATTCGATCGTTCTGGTCGGTGCAAAGTTGATAAATCTTCTCACTGCGATTAAACGGTGGCATATAATGTGCAAATTGGAATGCCATAGATATTTGCAATAAACCTAGCGAGATTAGAAGCGGCCTCATGGTTGCTGAAATAAATCGAATTGGGAGGCAATCTGGCGAAATTGGTGAATACTGGGCGGCAAATTTGCGCATAACATATAAACAACAAAGTTATCAAAATTTTGTATACTATATATGGAATGTTAATATCTAACAATTGAGGGTATGTTTGAAAATTGATAGATGACCCTTCTGGGAGAAATTCCGTCAAAGTGACCACCCTCTCTTTCGATTGTTTACCGTGGCGCATTTATAGATGTTTGAATTTTTGGAGCATTTTTGAAAAATTGGAACAGATTTAGGCAAAAATCGCCGAAAAAAGTTTTCCCAAGGAAGTCGAAAGATACATTGTCGTGACAAACTTGTAGCTCGATGCAGATTGAAACGGAAACTTTTTTTTATTGAAAAGCCGAATTTCAACAAATACCCGGAACAGGCGACGCATTTTTGTGGGGGGGGGGGTGGGGATTTTTCTTCTATCACATTCGACCAAGTAAACGTCTCTATATGCTCCTCGAAAATTCCAGAAAAGAAAATGAAGCGCGCTTCATTAAAATTAATGATTCAGATGAACAAATAAATTAGTTTTTTTATTTATAAACTTGAAAATTTTTTCTTGAATATTCTTGGAAGATTCATTCAATTTTTTAAAGCTCTAATGAGAATTTGATTACTTGGGACGAATACATATATGAAATGGAAATGAATGAATGGAAAAAAAATTGAATTGAGAGCTCAGCGCGGGAAAAACCGGTCGATACAATGGCTTGATTAGCAACTATAACCATAATATGTTTTGTGCACTTATTTGTCTTGAAGAGAAATATTGGAACGTAGATGGCGAAATTGTTCCCCATTCCCTCCGCCACTCCGGTTGCCTGCATGGCTAAACGTAATTGATGCCACTTTTGGTGCTCCCCCCATCAACCACAATATGCATAAAACACGCATAACGTGTACCCTTCAAAAATATGGATATATACATTATCATCTTTAAAAAAATATTGAGCAAACATTTATAAAACGTATATTTTCATATGCATTATAACATACATAGAATGCATATTACGGTAGGCACATAATAATTATATTTCAGGCAGAAATTTCTCATTTTGAAGACTTGAGGTTTCAAGATTTGTTTGATCATTTCACTTTTTGAAAATTACGGTATGAATCAAAGATGCTGGCAAAGATTTAAAATGTTAAGCCATAAGAATTAAATCTGCTTTTCGCTGAAATTATATAAATTTCTTACAAATGTCTGTCGTAGATTATATTGTTTTTTTGCTGGATATTATGCTTGAAGTGAAGCTCTCAAAAATTTTTGTCATTCATAAAATTCTGGATAAGCCATCAAAAATTAAAATGTTAATATTCAATACTACATGATGCTTGATTTTAAAGATTTCGAATTCTATATATTAAAATAAGAAAAAATTTCAATACAAAATGCTGCCTTCACAAAGGGGAGAAATTGAAGCTGAAAAGTCGACAAAATTAAAGTGCAAATTCAGAATTAGAATTTTAATTGTTTGCACTAGCCAATCACCATAGAATTTAAAACGAAATTTCGATTTGTTCTCGCCACCAAAAAATTTAAAAGCTAAATTGGAAAATTGCAACGCAATAAGAGCCACTAAGAAGAGTGTGCAAACATTTCTCGGCGGCTAAATTAATTTTGTCGGTTTTGCTTGGATAAGGTCAATGCTAAGAATGATAAAGGCATTTTGATTGAAATTGTTTCTTAAAATAGACGAAATCGAGCACGAGACTTTAATTAAATATTGAAAAGATCTAGGAAATTGCCCATTGCGAACGACATGCGACATTCCAAATACGAAATTGGTTGATCAAATGTCGATTGAAGAAAATATTGAACTGCATTTCAACAAATTATCACAATGAACCCAGTCTTAAGGAAATTGCCACAAAGAAATAATATTAACGGTGTCAGATAATGGCTAACTGCATTTTTTTCTACCAAAGATTGTCTCTCGTTCTTACTGTGTTTTCTCTTTGCAGCTGGCCCATAAGTAAAAAAATAATTTCGCTCATTATACTTTTCACAAGATCGTTTTTAACATCTTTGAACATCAATTTTCGCTTGGAACAACCAGGAGAAGACTCAAAAGAAAAAACACTAACAAATAACGTACTCATTTTATAACAAAAATTCTAATAAAAAGTTACCCCGAGGCAAGAATCGTTTATGTTTTTGCCCAGTGAACTATGATACTTTCAATGGGGCCGCAGAAACTGGAGACTTGAATTGAATAAGATTGGATCATCATGGATCAAACAAGAACGGCTTTCTTTTGAATATCTTACTATTAAGATAATTTTTACAAGCCAGTAGACTTTTCAGGAAATGTTCGCATTTTTTAAAAACGAGTTTAAACCGAGGTTTCTAGATTTCAAAAAACGGGCAACCTCCTTCTCGTCAGTCCGTATTGTAACTACAAATCAATCGCAATTCATTTTTTCAAACAACCCAAACTTAAAAAAAAATTTTATTCAATAAGGCCATATAGATTAAATATAATTAACTATGGATGAAGGACTGATGAAGTTCGCGAATGTTGTCAGTATTGCACCAATATTCCTGGACTTCTACCACGTGCTGCAAATATTATTTTAGGATCGCATATGGATAAGCTTGTTGATTACCTCCATTCCGGCGAAATCTTCTTCAGAAATATAATGACTGTGTCCGATGATGCGATGGAGGTCTTCCTGGATACGGCGCATGATGGCGAATTGACGTTGATAAAATTGTGTAGCGAACGGAATATACTTGATCATCAGATACTGCAAATAAAATGATTTTGAGATGAAAGAACTATTGAGAAAAATGCTTACGTTTGTGTGAACAAGATCTTCGACACGTTTAAGGAGATCATGAGCACGAGCCAAGATCATTTTGGAGTTGAAGGATCAAGGATGAGAACGGGATGCTGCAAAAAAAGAATGAGGATACTGTGAAGAAGAGGAGCTGATAAATAGTGGATGGCTAAAGATTATCGCAACTACTTTATACCAATTTGCAGTTTGGTTCCAAATAATTTCGCGCCCGAATTGTTTTTATCGCTGCGGGGACCATTGACAACAGAGCGCATTAGCAAATAGGGTACCCCAGAGTGAGCGCATTGGAAGGCGAAACAGCAATTTGTTAGGGGGAACGGTGCATATGATGAAGGGATTTTGTGTAAATTGTTCCTGAAAAAACAATATCGTTTAATTTTCTCTTGAATAAATAGAAACATTTACTTGTACAAATGCCGTCGAGAGTTGGGAGAAAATTGCAATTTTATTAAACTTTCCAAAAAATTATAGTGGAAGATTACGTCGATATTTTTATTAATATTGCGATAGTTGGTACACAAAAACAACTAAAATATTTGCCTTCAATGTTTAGAATTACGTTTCAAAAATTATATTTGAGTTGGAATACTGTGCAATTGATTTTAAATATTATATGTAAGAATCTTGCTCTTGAGTCAACTATTAAACGGAACTTCAGTTTTTAGGCAGTTTTTTTGAAATTCTGATTAACTCAAATGAACTAACAGCGAAATTGATCGCAATTTTGAAAATGAGCAAAATTAAGCAATTATCAGAAAAGCTGCAACCTTACTCCTTATTAATTCCCTTAAAACCGATAAAGTTCAAAATTTACGAGTAAGTTTTTTCAAAAAAAAAATAGCCCCACTCTTGAAAATGCCCGATTTGAAAACGAAATCATTGGGCGAACCATTTCGGAGCTTTTAACTATTTAATAAAATTACATTGTTAGAGCTCTCAAATTTTTCTGAAATGGCTAGTTTTTTCTTATCATGTTTCCCCAAAACGTTTTGTTTCGAACGTGAAAGCCAATATGAAACACAAGATTTCAATTAATCCATATATTTATTGAAAAAAAAACGTAATAACAGTGATCAGCACAGCGATTTAAATTAAATTATATCAAACATAGTTTTTCAAAACAATTGTACAAAGAATCAAACATAGAAAAATGGCAAAGTTGCAATGTTGAAAAATTTTCCCGTTTTCTTTGTTTTGGTACGATTTCAAGAGATCCTTGAAAGCAATTAAACAGTTAATTAGTTGATAGAAATTATGAAAACCGGCAGGTTTAAAGCTTAATCATAAATAAATAATTGAGATTTAGTTGTGAGATTAATTATGGCCTTATTGCGGATTGACTAATTTGGCGATGAATATTACAGAAAGTATAATACAGAAAAGTAGTTGTTCATCTTCATTAAATGAAGTATGGAATTCAAAATGTTGGGCACCACAATGCCTAAAAATGATGATTCACTGAAATACTAGACATTTCTACTTACCAATTTGTCGCTGTCAGCGCTAGCAAAATTGATATCCTTCAAACTGTGTTGCACAATACGCGGTGTGGTATCATGACCCGAAAACGAGTGGCAAATCGTGTAATTTTTCAGCTCCCAGGCATAAATACGACGATCCGAGCTTCCACACAACACAAACTCTGAGTTATTCGTAAATGTCGCCTCTAAAGGCTCGTTCTGAAAAAAGACTGAAAATGAACAAAAAAGGACAAGCTTTTTCAACGAGATTAATGGGGAATAGAAGGAAAAATAATATTGCTTTACACATAAAGCTATTAGGAACAGAAGAAAACTTAATTTAAAATGTTCTTACATGATCATTTTTATGTCCCCTGAGTACACTGAGAACTTTTCCGCTGAACGCGTCGAGAAGGCTGCAAATGAATGATTTCTAGCTCCAAATGAATCACTCGACAATCTTACATCAATCCAGTGCCATTAGTGCACAACAAAATTCTCTTGCCGCATGGCGAAAACATGAGATGCGTCCAATCAGCTTCAAATCCAGGTGCTTTCACATGCAAGGTATTAAACGGCCCCTAAAATGGCAAACTTTGCCAAAAAAAATTTGCAATTTGCCTTTTCACCTTTTCATATGAACGGACGTCGTACAACGCAATTCTAGTGCTGCTAATGCCAACTCCAAACACCACAGAATCTGGATCGTAGGAAGTAACAACAGGTGCGGCAAAGTTGATAATTCCCTGAAAATATGTACTTCGAATAAATGCAATTGCTTCAAACTACAAACCAGAGAAGCATTCGATTTGATATCCCAGAGTCTGAGAGTTTTATCAAGAGATGATGTTAATAACATTCCGGAGGGCGTTGTGTATAAGCCAGTGACACTGTAGGTATAATTGGCAATTTGTATATTTCCCAATATGGTCAAGATATTTGACTGATATAATCGTGCAAAAATCTCTCAACCTTTACCAAAAACAATATTAACTTACGAATCTTGATGCCCGATGAAATAACTGATATATTTGTTTTCCTCGAGAGAAAGGTAGCGCACAACATCTAAATGAATGATGTTGAAAACCTTAAAGCAGAAAAAAAAACATTCTTACGATTGACTTTTGTCGAACTATGGACCGCATTTTTAGCAGCATTGAAAAATCGAATGTGTCCGACGCCATACTTTTTCGAATGCAATATCTTTTTACGTTCTCCAGTACTCATATCATATATCAGAATTTCATCTCCTTTTGTTCCAGCGACAAAATGATTTCCTCCAGCTTCATAATCCATACATATGACCTCTTTGCCCGGGTAGGTCTGAGAAAAAAATAAGTCGAAGCAATGCAATCTTAAAAAAATTGATTTACCTTTCCCATTTCCATCGACTTTAAAATCGGTTTTGATATGTACATTTTTGTCGAGATTGACTTTTACGAAAAAATCTGTTGAATTGGAAATATTTAGTAATACGCAATTTAAAAATATAACGATAAGTGATATTGATATAAAAAAAACCATGTGATAAGGATCTCGATAAGAAACGGGAGCGAGTTTCTCAAGGCTAAAACGGCATTCAGAGAAATGAAAGGTGTGAGTGTGCACCATTGAGTTGTCTCGAATACACCAGAGATTACACATTATGGATGAAGACCCAAAAATTATACAAATCGGAAATAGTTTCTCATGAATATTATAATGCAATGCGCATTAACATGCTAAACGGAAACATTGAAAGTGTAATATACATATATTTATATATCCATATATTAACTAAAATAAACAATGAAGTGTATGAAAAATAATGCGACCTCATATTTCAAAACTGATTTAATACATTTAAAATGTTTCCAATTTGAATAATTTTAGACATTGAAATTTTTGTGCTATTACAAATAAAGCATTAGAAATCGACGAATTGTCAAAATTTTAAAAAAATTTAAAAAATGTAGAATTTTAAAATCCGAGAAAATGTTAATTATTGACAAATATTAAGAAAATGTAATTGAAAGCAACATTTTATGTTGACTTTTTTCTCCAATTCAATGTCGTTGTTTGAAACGCCATTTTGAATTATATAGGTTAAACAAAGGGCGAGTGCGCAACGCGGAGCATCGTAGCGACACAATGCGGTGTGGTTGTTAGCGGAAAAGTGAATAAAGAGAATTTTCCGGACCTGTTGTACCCAAATTTTTACGAAAATGATAGAAATATATCACGAAAAGGAAAACAATTTTAAAAATGTAAAAGAAAAAAATAATACACCCCGTAACTTCCAGAAAACTATTAAAATATTGAGACAATCACACAATTTTTTTTAAGAATTCTAAAATTGTTATAATAAATTGGAGAGTTTGATAATGTTTCATAAAATTTATTGAGTCTGATTAAAACTTGAAAATTTTTAAAATATGAAGATATAAGATTTTAAATAATGTATAAAGAAAATTATAAATTCTCATACTACATATTATAGTACTTTGAAAGGAAAACGATGTTAATTTGATTTTGAAGATCTCCAAAGTCGACGTTGAACCAGTTTTTTCATTTCTTATTAAATTTAAAATTTACATGTGCCATTTAGAAAGATTTGGCACAATGAGATAGAAAAAGCGATAATTCTTTAATATCTCGTCTCGCAATTTTTAACACTATCTCGTATTGGAAAATTTCCTCTTCGAAATGGGCTTGGGAGATTTAAATATTTGTCCCTCCTTTGCATAATTGAATCAAAGCGGAGATGGGTCTTAGCAGGATTTGGTTCGTAAATGGTTCTACGATAAAAGCCGCTATGGTTTTAGCCAGCTGTCTTCCAGTTTTGTTGAAACGTTATTGAGAAGATTGAACGAAATTTGCTCAATAGTCATTCGTTCATGATTATTTATATTATGTGACTTTCTTCGAATAAAATGCAATTTCTGGAACTACTTGAAATTAGCCTGATTACTCGATAAATAGCTTCGTTTTCTCGTGTCAATTCAAATTGGCTGCGTGGGTTAAAAGGGATGAATATTCAATAAATTGGGCATTAATGCAGATTTGTTGTGCTATTTTTCTACTGAATTATTTTTTTAATATTAAAGTTCAGAAGAATAGAATTTTGAATTTGAAATATAAGTAAACTTATTGGAGCTATTATTATTCTATTTTTTTATTTTAGGTACTTGGTTTTAATTTTTTTATATATATGAAATAATGCGAACAAAATAAACATTTGATTTTCTGAAAGATTTTTGAATTTGTTAACAATCACGATTCTCAATGTTCAAGGGCATTGTTCGAATTATGATAAATAAATTTAAGTGAAAAAAACACAGCTGAAACGATAACTATCAGTAACCAATGAAAATACATTATGCATCATTATAGAGGACGCCTTAAATATTATATCAAAACACCCTAATTATGCATATTGACAATAAGGAATCCTTTTATTGGATATTCTATAATCTTGCAAATAGTTTTTTTTTAATATTTATTGGAAATTCAATTTCCCACACCTCAATTTCTGTTCAAACTCCAAATGTTACCCAAAGGTTTCTATTTTTGAATCGGCCGATATTTCTTGCCCATTTTAACAGTATTCACTCGCGGCCGCATTTGTTTTACGATAAACCCTGCGCGACGTTCAAGGTTATCTTGTTGTTCCGGACAATTTCAAAGAAATTTCAAATTTCGACTTTTTTTTCAAATCAACTTTTTTCCCCACAAGATTGCATTTTCTGTTAACCCTTTTTTACATTCAATTTTTTCTTTCTTACTTCTTAAATCTTCTGCATTTTCAGGTAATGTGACTTGGTTTCAACGAAAATCTCGAACGATATAATAGAAGATAAAAAAGGCTTCTTTGTTTTTAGCTGCTATACTTATTCAATTCATAGGTGAATTTTCTAATATATATATATGAAATTACTGCAAGAAAAAAGTTTTAAAAAATTGATAGTAGTAGTAACTATATTACTATAATTTTTTCAGATTCTGTTAATTGTTTGTTACCAATATATAGAGGAATCGAACGAACGACTGCCCCTTGCCATTTGAAAGCATGAATTTGTGAGTTTCAATTTTAATTGATATGGAGATATATAAAAGCACTTAATTATCGAATTTCTGATATATGATTCTAGAATATTATAAAATTACTCCAATTAATTATATTAAAATTTTTATCATCCAAAAAAATGAGATTTTCGAACTATTGTGAATAATCGCTTTTTTTTCTTTTTGGTATGTCAAATTTCGATTTGAACAGTCTGAAATTTGGGTGTACCGTACTACAAATAACCCTGTGAATCAAACTCACCGTAATTCAGCGCAAGGTGCTCGTTTTTTTTTGCGAACGTTATAAAATTTCTATCAGTGGTCTAATTCTCGTGAAAACTGTTAAAAAGACCGCTTTGAATGTTTTTTTTTGAATTGTATTTTCAATTAGCAATGGTTTTCATTATTTTGATAAAATGTCACTAATCCATTTTGGCAAATTTTCCAAAAATTTATCCATACTAACACATATTTAATGATTATTATCAATAGTTATTCTCATTTACTGCCATCTGTGGGAACTATAAAATGCACCTATTATATGGTCCTAGTCATGGGAAAACCGTTAACGTGTTCATTTTTCTATGTAGCACGAATTGCAAATCAATGGCAACTTTTTATTGGCCAAACACCGAGCATATACGGTAATTAGTGAAAAATCCTATATGCGATGGTCAGCGTTCGAAATATTAAAAATAAAAAATTCTTCGATTTTTTGCTTCTAAAAATATTTTATGTGAAAAACAAATAAAATTAAACTTACGATTCTATTTTTTCTGGTCGGACAAATTGAAGACAATTTTTTTGTCAATAATTCCGTGCGTACATTTTTATTATTGATTGGCATTTTTGGAAAATCAACGAAATTTCTCTATTGTTATTATCTAATTCTTGGATATTTTTGAAACCAACGTAAAAAACTTCAATTTTTTGTCAAATTTTTAACCCAAATTTGATGAAATTCTTTAAGCACAATGCTTTGCGACGCTCCTGCCCTTCTTCGACGTGTTGAGTTGGTTATATTAAGCATTGTAAGTACAATTCATCATTCCATTATTTTCTTTCGGGGCACTTGTTATTTGAAGAATTTTCTGATAAATGACGCCCCCGACTTCTCCATATTCTTTCGACGATTGGTGTTTCTGGCTCATAGTCTTCAAGGGGAAATCCACCGCTGCCTCGGACACACGTGCACACTCTCAAATGAGGACTTGAGGGGTTTGGAGGTATCATTTGCAATGCACAAATTATGAGCACATTGAATGACAATTTTCAGCATCTCCTATCCGTTTACGAAAATTCCTGTGATGTGATGAAACTTCACGAGCTCAAATTTTTTAAATAACCCGTTGATTCATATATATATATATATATATATATATATATATATATATATATATATATATATATATATATTTTATATATATATATATATATATATATATATATATATATATATATATATATATATATATATATATATATATATATATATTGAATAAATAAGTTATTGCTTCCTCTTTGAATTCGGAGAATGTCATGTGGTCGAAAAGTAGAATTTTCAAAGTGTTTTATATTTCCCATGTTACTTCTTTCCAATTAAAACAATTATATTTTTATTTAAAAAATATTTATTCGCAATAGTATATTGTATAAACGATCAAAATTGGCGTTTTATTATTCGAATTTCCGAACCCCCAAATTTTTGTAGTAATAAGATCTTATGATTTTTCTTCCAGATAGATTTACACAGCTGGTCTTTTTGCAAAAAAAAGTTTAAAAAAATTGAGTTTACGCGCGGGAATTCAAATACCGCCTAACGGCTCACCAAATGATCTTACAACACAGGTAGAAATAAAGCAAGCTACAATTCATCCCATAGTTTTCCGTTGAAAATGGGATACGTTCTAAAAAACGGAATAGCCAGGTTATCCAATAGAAAATATTATAGAGATTGGTGAAAAGTGCTCCACATAACTATATAGCTTTACGAAAAATCTCCACTTGGCATAGGATGATAATTTTCAATGTTTCATTCGTGTGCCAAACTTAGAGAAAATAGCACAATTTTTAAAATTAATATCATTTCTCTAACAATTCGCATTGTCGAGTTATTCCGAAAAATTGAAAGGGTTTTAGGGAGCACTGTAGTATTTCACGCTAATTATACTTGAAATTGGCTTATTCATTGCTGAAGTTTGGATGATAGGATGAATAAATCTATGATGATATCCAATGGTCATTAGATTTTTCAAATTCCTGGCTGATTTTAGAGAGGCAGCGACTCTATGATTCCTCATACGAAGTTGTGAGTTTCCAATAATGATTTGTAGTAAAAATCTGGTCTGTAAAATAACATTTTTCAGAAATTTGTTTTTAAATATTTTTGTATAAGAACAACAAAAAAACTTACCAGTTTTTTTTTTTCAATACTCATACGAAATTCCAGGATGGTTCTATTAGATGTGACAGCGAAACCGAGAGGGAAGATTGGGCCTAACTGAAATATATGATTTACATTTTGTATATTGCACCTTCATTATTCACCTACGCATTTTCTATTATGCATTTGATGCTTATTTCTATTTTCTACTAGGTTCGCATTACCTGAAATTTCAATGATTAACCTTTTATCTAAGTTTTTTGCATCGCAAAAATTGAGAGAAACATCCTTTGTATTTCAAAGAATAAAATGGCATCATCTCAATGAACATTATTACACTGGAACACCAATGTTGGCTTTGATTTCAAGTGACTGTGATAACTTAATAGGAATGCTAGATACTTTGTGTATCATTTTCTTTTTTATCGTTTTTTGTTTTTTGCTAATTTAGACATAAAATAGTTTATTTTCATTCTAACATTGCTAAATGACGGCAATAGGTTTCTACAAAGAATAAGACACGAAAATAAAAATATAGAAGAATCACCTTCTCGGATCGTGACTTTTGAGAATGTGAGGAGTGCTTATGGTAGAGCGTCATGTGTTCTGGCATTTTTTTTGAGTCACTTGCTCGTCCGCAAAACCCATAATTCCCGTCATTAATCATTTTTTTTTATCTGAAAATTCCTTCGCTCTGTCCTTGACATTAGCGTCAAATGACAGCTAACCCAAAAAAAACTGGGTATTTACAATCAAATAATATGAAAGGGATAGATTTCTCTTGAAGAAATCACGAAATGGATTGAATTCGAACGTGATTCAATGAAATAAATGTAGCGTTTCAAAAATATTGGCTACATTCCAATTTTCCAATTAGCCAATTCATCAAATTTGTCGATCCAAATTGACCTTTAACCTTTTAAATTGAAAATTTGGATCTCGAGTGTTCTAGTCAATGAAAGGTCAATTTTTGGGAATGATGGACCCGTTTAAAATGCAAACGAAGAATTTTAATGTTGTATTGCTGGGGGTCGTTCAAATTAAATGAAAAAAAAAACGAAAAATATTTTCCAAACCAATTAAAACGTAAGAAATGAAAGCTGATCTCTTAAATTATTTTGAAATTAAAAATTGCTTCCAAGATTTTTGAAAAATAGTACCAATTGCCTTTCCAGTCTATGCGAAGCTTCGCGCATTGTGCTGTAGTTTGACCGGTTCATTGGTAAATTTCAAGATTCTTATTGAGCTCTTTGCATCTCTCCCTTTATTTTCTCATAGACGTTTTCCTCATATTGTAGTTCTCATATGTATCTGATATTTGTGAATTTTACAGTGTAGTCCCGAAAGCTTTTATATGCGCATATATGTATATGTTTTACTTTATGCACATATTGACTAGTATTGTTCACAAGAGGAAAAAAACTTAATTAGCAATGATGAAAATACATAGAAATTGGACAGCAATCTCTTTGAACACTGCACTGGGAACGAATAGTTAGATGAACACAGACATGCTCATTTAATCCCTTTTTTGCCTGCCACCTCGCGTCGTCCTTTTTTTTCACGCACAGAAAAATGTCCACCCAATTTTTCAGGGTTGGGGGGGGGGCTGGCGGTGCTCCCTGACATGGCGCTGGAGGGCCCCGCCTCCGTCTTTGCTTTATCTCTTATAAACCTTCCATACATCGAGCAGAGAGCCCAACGCTCTCCTCGCCTACAAAAACATACACGCAGAAGAGGTTTTTGATAGCAGTTGAAAGACCACCCAAGAAACAGGGAATTGGCTTCTTTGTTTTACCCAACGGCCCCCTTCCCCGTCTAGACTACCCTAGCCAACCCCCTCCTCATCGAAATTGTTGTTTCTACACTACATAAATTGAGAGCGACGTTCAAATCGAAGAAGACCGCACATGTTGGATTCACAAATGCGCGCATCACTCCGACGTTTTGTGCTTCTCAAAGAAGTGAAAGCGAAACGAAGAACAATAAATCGCCCATTTTTTTCTTTCTCTTAGCATTATCGTAGACAAAGTTTTTTGTCGACTCCTCGGACTTGTCATATCTCCTTTTAAAGGCGACAGCATTCACGCACATGGTTATTCCTTTTATAATTATTTATTTATTTATTTATTTGCGCAATGTTTTCTTTCTTCAAGCTGACATAAGAAGAAGGAAATAGAAGCATTAAAATTCAAACTCGAAAGCACCAGCTCTTAGTGTCGCTCTCTCAAAATATCGAAAAAAATGAGCAAGTTTGAAATTGGATGGATGACATTGACGCATACCAATGAGCATATAGCAGGGTCCAATTTTCCATGAATTTAATTTCTTGGTGGTTCTTGGAATGTGCGCGTACCCCCCTCCATTTTTAAATGAAGGGTTTAGTTTTTCGATGCTCTCAGTTCATTCGCGTTTAAGGCTCACACAACAACGCCTATCTGACTTAATTGCCCTCCGCTTTTCAGAAACTCATCGAACTTGACGAGATGCAGATCAACCAATCACTCTTCCCATCAATGTTCTTTTTTGCTGGCCTCACTGCCTGCACCTATGGTTAGCAAATGTACATATCAATTCCTCTAATAGTCAATTCAGAGTTCTCTGGAACGGATGAAACTATTGACCCGTTTCCAAGATCGAGCCCGCCACCACCGCCACCACCGCCATCAGCATTAGCTCCGGCGGCGCCAAGCTCGACGGCTTGCGTTGGCTTCAACTGTGTCGCTCGCATTTTTGATGTCGATCTTAGAGCGGTGCTATTTAGTGTGTTCGTTTTTGTGCTGATGGCGTTCATTATATATAAGTGCTGCCGTATGGCGGTCACCTGCTGTCGATCATCATAATTTCAATTTAATAGACACCATATTGTTGTTTGCTTTGATAAACGAATATTTATGTGCAGAAATGTAATGAATCATTCGACATGTGATACGATGAAATTGTAGCTGGAAAAGAATATATGTATTCAAGAAATACAAAACTGCGAATTTCTAGTTTTGTAAAAGAATTGCACAACGATTTGATCGGGAACGAACAGCGGACATTTTTTGGTTTAGGTTAATCTTCAGAAGAAATTTAATATTACGAAACAAAAATCGCCAACGGTAATAGGCTTTTTTTGACGAATAACAGCAGAAACTGGCGGTGCGTCACACTGTTTATTTAAAAAAATTGATTAATAATGCGATGTTAAAGAACAAATTGTGTTAAATACAGAAGAGTACTGATTCGCTTCATATCGAACTGAATACGTTTAGAAACGAGTGTCGGCCATTTAAAACAGTGTTGAAAATCGCACGTGATTCTTGGAATTGACAGAGCATAATTTGAGCCCTGCAGTTTCTCAGATAAAATCGAATTCGCACTTTGGTTTAACCAATAATGGATTCCTCTTGTAAAGAGGGTTTGGATCAATGTTGGATCATCTCATTTTGAAATAATGATAATATCCCGTTTTAACTATCTAGTATTCAGACTAAAACTGATGTCTTTTTGAGATACAATAAGATATTAATCGTTCAATTCAATAAAATAACTGCCATTTTATTATACCTTCAATTTTCGCCATTTTTCTGTCACAAAAACATTAAAATATAAATACGTGTGGTTTAATAGTAACGTAATGGTTCGCGCCACCTAATCCCTTTGTCTCATTTATTGCCAATTACCGTTGTGGTCTTTCTACCCACACGAACACATTTTCTTTTCAGGATCTTCATTTCCCCAAGTTGACCTTTCTTCATCAGGTGCATACAGTTGATTGTTACCTCATTTCGTTACAGTTGGTGATTGTTATTGCATTTTTGAAAACCTACTTTGTCAGAGCAATCCTTTGTCTATATTCAATCATCGCTCATCTTGCTCTTCAATTGTACGACAATGGTGAAGATAATTCAAGCAGCTCTGTTTTTTCTCGTCGCATCTTCTTTCATCAGTTATGGTAAAATCAATAAATGAGTAGCAATTATCAAAGCGCGGATTTTTTTTTTTCAGCAAAAAATGATAAAGAAGACGTTGCAGTGAAAAGAGAGTTTCACAATTCGGTTATGTACGATCATTGGCTTATTCGTCTTCCACCTCCACCATCCAATGAGTCATCAAAGGGTGAAATGTCACTACTATCACACCCATTCCATGATAAGCCGCGTGATAAAATCCCAACGTCGTTTGATCACATTGTTGAGAAGCTCAAGAAAACTGTTTATTATGTTTTTGTGATTGTATACTTCATTTAAATTTATTTCATGTTAAGGTGGCTCACCCAAACATTAAATGATTAGTTTTGCTATTCTCTCATATTCATGTCTTTCATCTCAATAAAAATCAAAATCTTACTTATTATGAGGGGGTTTCCTTAAACATCACACTTCTATTTATAACGTCCACTGTTTCAATATAGTTCAAGAGAATAATAACAAAATAAAATTATTTTAAAGAAAAAAACTAAACGATAAGCCAAAAATGAATATAGAAACTGATTTGAATCAAATCATGCTCATTTTTGTTGGTTTCGCTCAAAATCGCATCTACTTCAATATTTTTTGTAATTATTTTTCAAAAGTTTTTTTTTGGATTTGAAACTACCTCAGCGATCTTAATTGGAGATTCGTCGTTATTCTCCATTACCAATTAAAAATGTACCAATACTTTCAAAACACACAAAAGTAAGAGATTGTTATATAAAATGATTTTTTGAAAGCGTGGGTTCGGCAATTTGGCAATAACTAATTGAAAATTAAAGGAGAACCTGCTAATTGATTTTAGGTCGCTGATGCATTGCTCTCATAGGCCGCGGCAATACATCAATGTTTTGTAAATGCCTGCTCCTTTATTTTTTCATCGTTTTATCGATTTCGCTGAAGATAACTTTCAATAGTCTCTAATAGTTACGATTACAATTTGTTCGATAGGCAACCGCAATTGAAAAAATTAAAATAGAAAAATGAAGAAATCAATAAGAAGGGAGGAATTAAAATATGTAGTATGAGGCTACGATGATCAAGCTCCAAATGCCAAAGTGTGGGGAATTCCATCTTCTAATTAAGTTTATCTTTCATCATCCGCGAATTGAAATTTCTTCCTTGTTTCCAGGTATCCTATTGGGTTTTCCAAATTCGGGACTTCGACATCGGATTTTGTTTCTTTTAAGACGAAAATTCATACATTTATTTTCTGTGTGTATCCTTCACGAACAACAAAAAGTGAATTAATTATTCTTTAATTGTTGTATGTATTTTTAATCCTAAATTACATATTTTCGAGGAATTGCACTATTTATTGAAAAAAGATTATTATAAATCAATAGAATATTATAAATCGGTAACCACAAGTGCAAATATGAACATTAGGTATATAATAAAGACGAACAAGGCGACTAAAGCAGACAGTGAAGACGAGTTCGGTGTACCCATTGGCACTTCAGTGAACTTAATAATAAGCACTCCGTCGTTATCAATTTCAGGAACGCAGACAAATTCATAGAAGCTGTATCGGCTAAAGTTTCGCGATGGATCTTAAAGAACAGAAGTTTTGAATGTAATTGCGGTATGTCTTACCAGTGGCGTAGACGTGAAGCAGGATCAGAAATAGAATAACAATGCGGATGTTGTTGCGACAAGTCATATCGACTGCCAGCATAACGTTATTCCAAATGATTGAAATAATACAGAAAATCGGAAGAAAGCTGTAGCTGCCGCCGAATTTGTTTTCAAAACAACACGGTCAGACATGGATTTCACACAGAGGAAGCGTCTAATGAATACCGTCAACATGTTTACAAAATTTCATTATTATTTGCTAAAAACAAAAATACGGTATTCTAGAACTACTCCTGCTATGTTTTTTTCAGAGTCTCGAGCATAGGGGAAATGGAGGGAACCGAATGGGAGGAGTATATCAATCAGCTCTCTCATTTACTGTCATCGGCTGAATGGCATATTAAACAAAAAACTTTTTAGGGTTGTTAAATTTGGGGCCCGGCCGGCCGAAAGCCGGCTTTTGGTCGGCTTTTTTCGCTGTCAAATTTTCGGCCCTCGATTCGGCCCCCGACTCCGTTGTTTACGGCCGCACGGCCGAAGCGGGAATTCAAAAAAAAGCCGAAAGCCGGCCGAAAGCCGGGCCGGCCAGCTTTCGGCCCCGGCTTCAATTTACCAACCCTGCAAAAAAAGTCTAGAAAAGAATACTGGTTTCTATAATAATCAACTTTTATTCTTTTTCTTGTTTCCATTTTAAACAGTGAATAAATCTTACTAGATATACAGTATCCCGTCAAGACCGCCGACAGCGATGAAATTAAATTAGCGCCATAATGGTGTTTACGTGACAGTTTCTCTCACGCTAATTTTCTTTTGTTTTGCCGGCGGGGCGTGACAAGAATAAAATACCTCCTGTCTTGCTCAGATCGCTCAGTCATTCTGATTTTCGACGACCTCCGGAGGGTTCCTCTTGAGATCGAAATGCACCTCGCTGTTTTTGTCACAGCTGTCGTTTTCATCTGCATCATAGTGATCATTTATCGTTCGGGTATAGTTGTCCAAATGATTTTCGAGATGAAAAATTCGTTTCAGTCAAACTCGTCAATTTGGCGGACGATCCGGAATTTTTCACCGCCGCCAGTTCGATGGAGCTTCTCGACCAAGTTTCTGATGCAAACACCGTCTGAATCAATTCAATTTTATTGAATTTCTGAAAGCCCTGCCAATTTCCATATCGATTCGTTCATTTTATGATAATGATATTAATCCATTCACTTACCATTATTTCATTTTTGTTTCGATGTCAGCTTTTGAATTTTTCTGAATAAATAGTTATGCCCAGTGCATTTGTGTGCCTTTTTCACGAATTTTCAGATTGTAAGAGGATTTCTACGAGATCTGAGGCAAACGCGAAAATTTAAAAGGAAAAACTTCTGACGGGATTCCGACTCTATATAACTGGAATTGATGAATTTTCGAGCTATAACGATGATGGAAAGTTAGAAGAAAGCAGAAATATGCCACATATTGTTAGCCATCATCTTCTCTTGCCACATTTGTTCCTGTAGACGTTCTCTTCCAATTATTATTTTTTGGTAATAAATTAAAATCTGAAATAAAAGCATGTGATCACGGATACACATGTCAGAAATAGTATAGATATTGCTTGATCTCTGTGTAATTTCTTAAATTTCACATTGTTTCCAATTTAGTGGCTCACATATGACTAAAAGAGCTGTCTTACTGTATCTTTGGTGTCCCGTCAACACCGCGCTTAAATTAAATTAGCGCAATTATGGTGTTTACCAGACAGTTTCTCTCGCGCTTATTTTTAATTGTTTTTCCGAGGCTGGCGCGCGGATGAGAGACCACCTACCGTGCTCAGATCGCCGAGTCTTACGTTTACCGCTGACGTTCTTCTAGGCAACATCTGCGACTGCCATGTATATTTTAAAATTGATGCTCCTGCTCAATTTCATCGTTCTTGCCGCCATGGATGTAGATCATATGGGTATGATTGACAAATAATTAGTACATAAAAGTATTGAAAATTTAAGACGTTTTCATTGCCAACTACCTCATAGAATTGACACATGTGCCTTATCAGGATCGAGGTCTACAAGTCCCCGAAGAAAATCAATTTGAAATTATCTACGTCTTCAAACTCTACATTCACTGAATAATAATAAGTCGGTTTCCTTTGATTCATATTTTTCTAATAAATAATTAAGCAATTCAATTTGGTAAATCTGTTGAAAATTGGGAAACAAGTTTTTAAATCATTTTGTCAATCCAAGACAGCTGGAATTGATATTCCAGACTCACTGAATTAAATTTTGTTCCATCCATATTGTTAGTTGGCTACCTTAATAATATGTATTTCGACTATCGGTGAACATTGATGAAATTGCTCATATAACGGTTCATGGTTTCTAATTCAATTTGATATTGTGCAAAAACTTGTGAGATATTTTTATGCTTTATTGAAATATATTTTATACAAATTAAAATAATTATAATGAGATATTATAATGAGACACACGTCTACTTATCAATGTATTGAATGGTTCACAAATTTTCACATGATCCACACGTGCCTTCAAGTTCCTTTGTTGCGCATATTGCTAACTGTCCGACGGCACTAATCCGCTGATTTTTTTTTACCAGTTCCCGCGATGACCTCTCAAGTCCATCTTTTCACGAACATTTGCCTTGGTCGTTCATTATTAGGTTCTTTCATTCGATCCTGCTTATCTTTTCAACCAAGCATATTGAACCGCTATGTATTTCTATATGATATTTCAAGCAGCTCTGTTTCTTCTTGTCGCATTTTCTTCCATCAGTTATGGTAAGATCAATGAATGATTAGCGATTTTCAAAATGCCGTTTTTTTTCAGCAAATAATTACCCAAAAGTCGTTTCCGCGAATAGAGATGTTCGCATTCCGATAATGTACAATCATTGGCTTCGTCTTCAGTCTCCACCACATGCTGACGCGTCAAAGCCGGAGCCACCCAAACCATCACTAGCGCCTTTATTCGATAATGACAACCCTAGTAATGAAATTCCAAAGTTGGTCGATTACCTTGTCGAGAAATTCACGAATAATATTTATTACATTTGTGTGGTTATCTATATTATGCTGATGTATTTCACATATCGCTTTCTCATTCATCCAACACCCGCATAATTGTCTAATTTTATAAAATATTTTTTTTCGCGTCGAATAAAACTATCAAAATCTAAATTAGAAATCTCTGACAATCTCAATATGCATTAAAAGGTTTTTAATCCAATTATTAATTAAATGTGAGAGTTTGTAATATAAATTGCGACGCTCTGCTGCGGTAATCTGGATTAATCGGCTCATTTGGCACAATGGATCTCCATGTTAATCATAATTTGCGATAAATATGCATTATACATATAATGTTGTCATAGGGGCTAAAAAGAATTACAATAACAACCAACATGAAATCGATGGATCCTAATAACATATGTATTGGTTGAAGATCAAATTGAAAATTGATTTCAAAACATTTATCAGCTTTTCCATACAATACATAATAACTTAAGAATAAATACAATGTATGTTGAATAGCTCTCAACAGTTAGTATATCTATAATGAGCATTATATCGTTTTTGTTTCACCAGCCATCGTTTTTGATATCATTAAAATCCAGACAAAATATTTCCTAGCAATTACATATAATCTCAACCGGTATTTGCAAAATAAATGCTATGCAATAGAATTTTTTTGTACATCTTTGATAAAATTTCAGCAGAAGTTGCAGCTTTTCGAGCATTTGTTCCTCATATAATCCTTGAAAATTGTTTGGTTGCACATTCCACTGTTCGCCCAGCGTTCACACCAAGTCCTGAAGAATTGTAGATTAACAAAAACAAATGAATAAGGGATTCATGGCTAACCGAGAATCTTCGCAGACTGGCTTTAGAGCTTCTTTCGACTTATCACATTTGCCGCAACTTTCAGCACAATTCTCATTCATGAATCTGATGCTGAATCGACTCTCGCAGTGTCCGGCTCGAGCGAGAAATTCGCAATCCTTTCGCCTATAATTCAACATTCTTGCCAATTTGTTTCAAGCTTCTCACTGTCAAACCTATCTTCACATTTCTCTCCGATAATTGGCAACACCGACAACAATGAGCTTCCCGAGCTTTTCTTCTCCGACTTTTCCCCAACCGACGATCCAATTTCGCCCTTCTTTTCATTGATCTGAATATTGAATGCATTTGAAAATCATCATTTCCTTACTGGAACGATTGCCGGCTTCTTAGTAGCACTCTTGATTCGTCGTGGAGTTGTTGCGTCGGGTGGTGAAGCTGTGGAAGCTGAATAATGAGTGGTTCGAAATTTTTGTCAAATATGCCTAAAGCTCACTATAATGTGGACAATTGTAGAGCATATTGATTTTGTATAGATCATTTTCGCTGAATCCGACCCTTTGTCCAATTTCAACGCCACTTTCTAGTGGCTCAATTGTAGGTTTTCCATTCTAAAATTTTTCGAATAAATCCATTTTCTTAAATATTACCTTGCTGAACGCTGTTGGCGCGTAATGCATAACTGAACCATAGTCATATTTGGTACCAAGATGGTCAATCATGTTTAACGTATATTTATCAAATTGGTCTGCAATTGATAGCTAACTATAAGTAGTATTATTCAGCCGAACCTTGCAATCCCGCTTCAACATTGCTCCAATTGATTTTCACATATTCATCCCGATCAGCTCGACTTTGCTCATGGAAGAATCCAACAGCGTGCATGAGCTCGTGGATGATAATTCCTTTTTGAATGCATCCATCACCGAGACTTACTGGCTGCTTTCCACCTTCAAAAATGAATCAATGGTGTACAATCAAATGGTGTTGCACCCACCAATTCTTCCAACCAGCGAATAGCATCCGTCATCAGGAACAATATGAATATAATCCAAATCGCCAGCACTTTTTGGCGCAAAATCAATGCACGTCTTTTTTCGGTATTCCTCGATTGCTTCAGCAATTTTCGAACGACTGAAATTATTTTTTTAAATTTGAACAGTGATTATGAGAATTTCTAACCTGTAGGAGGAATATTGAGAGCTGATTGTATATGGAATCCGGCCATCCTCCCATTTCAGATATGTTTGACGAACCGCGTTGCGTTGAACACCGAGTATCCCGAATGTCGGCGGGTTGCCGACAAAATTGTTGACCGAACGCGAATTCAATCCGCTATTTGCTGAAACGCGCAATTAGAATTGAATTTGAATAATGAGTAATACTGAAATTTTTCTCTCATAACGTTAATGATTTATAAATAGATTTTTGCAATTTCACCGGAAAATTATAAAAACCGTTTTTAAGCAATTATGACTCCCATAATTAGCTTCAAAAAGTTTTGTTAGAGATTTGTACTATATCATATAACTCGTTAAACTTCCTATTAATTTACCTATATCTCCTTCAAATCGAAATGGATTGTACATGGCTGAATCATTGATTCTCGACCAATTATCGTCGTCATCCTGATATGCAGCAATCATTTGGAAGTCATAGTCATTCAACAGAGTTTCCTGTTCCGGAATGTTTGGATCAAAATACTGAAAATGGAATAGTGATTGTTTGAAATTTTCAATCAGCTTACTTTATTATGTGCAAAAATTTCGTTGGCACAAAGTTGAAGCAAAAAAAGAAGCGTGACGGCGAAAGTCATCTAGCGAAAGTGTATGCGCAACGGCCTGACAAAAATGGTGGATGTGTGTAGATTCGAAAGTAAAATGTACGGTGAAGGCAAATAATGATGAGGCGCTTGTGAAAAGATGGATATGGCACCGATATTTGACTGGTTGCAGTTGGCAAGGTCAGACGATCTGAAAGCAGCTTTTAAACACGACGAAAGCGTGTGGAGTTTTGCAATTCAAATTGCGTCGCGGAAGTCGAATGAGAGGAAAAAAAATACGCGTCAAGCTTTTTGCCACGATGGTATTTCAATTAAACTGACCACCATGAAGATAATCGGTTAGTGGGCGGAACGGAAAACCGCACTCGAGCCTGCCATCCGAAAACAAATTCGCCGCGGCGCCGGCTCGCAATCATTAGCGCAAACAACATATTAAATAATCGGGGGAAGCAGCGTCGGTGTCAAAAACTCTGATATCCGCAATTTTTTGACGCTCAATCGCCGGACGGCAAAAATAAACCAATGGTCAAATAGACATGACAGACCGGAAATCAAGTGGGGCGATTCCGATTCGATGTTGTTGTTTTTATTAATCATTGCGCAATTCGGTAAGAATATTGCAGGAAAAAAACGATTTCATCCATTTTGCAGGCAGAATTTGCTTGGAAACATACTAAAAAAGTATTGCCTAGGCAATAATGGACCCTATTCTGCAAATTTTAAAAATATTCATTTTTATATATTTTACGTTTCTGAATAAGAAAAAAACTTTGTTTTCGATTTGCTGAATGGGTCCTTTTTATTGAAAACTTTGATATTATTTTTTCGGAATCTTCAAATTCAATCGCACAGAGCCAGAAAAAATGTGATTAGCACATTATTTCTGATATAAAATAGTGAACGAAAAAAAAAACGAAATAGCATTCCCGAAAAAAAGGCGTAAAGCCGTAGCCCGTATAATTGCTCGAGTGTATACATACTTGTGTCACCGAATGTTTCCATGACTTTTCGCATCCGCAACTAGTTTTTCATCAACACAACGATGCATGCCCGAAAATGGCTCGTTTACATATTTATACATACATATTTATATTGCGCAATATAACTTTTAACGTTGTGAAGGATAATTGCGGGAGGCAGGCTTGAAAGTATTCAATTTTTCCCGAGTTTGTGGGAAGAACAAACAAGCACGAAAAAAAGGCTCCATGGAAACGATTTCGCTGATCAAATTTTCGGCAAGACATCCACATATGCATATTTTTTTTAGTCAATTCTAAGAGAAAATTGAAAAATGTATTATTTCAACAGCTGTTTTCTTTTTCTTTGGTGCTATTCCAAGAATTTGTGGCCAACCAAAACCTTCAAAATTCATTTCATATTGTTAGCTTCTTGCCATAATGCAGAATTTTCAGATTTCATCTAATTAGGTAGTATGATTCATCAACATTGAAAATGGCCGTCTAAATTAAGACGATGTCTCGTGAAAATGCTCTCAATGATACACAGATCCCCATATATTCATCAAAATCTATTCTACACCTCCATACAACAGAGAGGAATCAATATGACGCTCCCAATAAAAATGGTAAGTCGTTTCTTGGTTTTGTCTTGAAGACGCACAATACTGTGTGTCAACGTTGCATTATTTTTTTAATTTGCAAATTAAATTATCGCCAATAAAAATAGTCGTCGCCGAATGGCGGGCGTTGTTTATTTCAAAAAAGCAACCGTGCTAAACGCTCGCAATTCCCATTTTCCTTCCATCGTTCAATAAATCAATTGTGTTTCATTTTTATGCGTCGATTTTGCCTTATAACTCCGAGCATCGAACCCAATCTGCCTTTGTTTCTCCAGCTCTTGTCCATTTATGGACAACGAAAATGCCCAACAGCCGACAGCGGTGTCGATTCATGCGAGTCGACGCCGCATCTGTCATCCGTCAATTCACCAAATTCGTACACTTGCGACGGCAACGACGCCGAACTCAATTGGCTCATTCAATTCGCTCACTTGGATTGCGGTGAATCGTCAAAATTTCCGAAAACACCATCGTGGTCATGGGCAACGGAAAACGATGTGATACCAGCCAAATTCACCCGTGACGGTTATGCATATTTCGACAATTCCGACTACAAGATGTTCAAAGTTTACGACGTGAATGTTGTTCTTCTCCAATAAATCATTTATTATTGACGTTCTGAGAAGTTGAGTGAGAAAAAGGTGCGTGCCTTTATTGGAATCTTCTGCAATAGAGATTAACGAACAAAAAAAGGCACATTTTTGGGAAAAATTTGATAATATTATTAATAACAGAAAGTGCAAAATGCATAGAAATTTGCGCGGAATATTATCCACAATCTGAATAAAATTTTCCGATTTCCCCAATATCATTTTTTTAAATTACAAACAGCAAATTGATGAAATGCCAATACCGAGTGACGTAATAGGTAGTTTCCTATTTTTGAAACGTACGCATTTTCTTCAATAGTTTTGTGTTTTCATTTTTTTTTATTTGCTTCAGGAGATTTGAAACCTAAAATTCGGTTATTTTAATGTTGGTGACTTACCGCGTAGCGCCTTCCAAAATTTCTTTAATTAAAGCTGAAATGATTTTTTTTATAATTCTGCCATTCGGAATTAATTTTCAACAGAAAAATTATCTTCTCAACTTTTTGCGAAAAAAATAGAAAGTCTTTTTTAATGCTGACGAGTTTTTATGTAAAAAAAAAAAAAACAATTTAGCAGTCTTATTTTTTACCCTCCTCTTTCTTCTACTATTTCTTGACGTCAGGAACATAGAAAAATCGATTTTCAAAAATTATGTGAAAGTTGTTCCCACAATAAAATGTCGCTGCACTCTCTTACGATTTCGTTCTCAGGTGCCCACCATCACGAAAAAAATAAATAAAAAAAAAATTGAATAATATGTTTTGAAACATATTAATCTCACATTTGGTTTTTGAATTGATTTTCTAACTTTTTGAATTTTTTTCTAATTCCTCCACGCAATTAGGAATAATTGTTAATGATCATATCTAATTTTTTTTACTAATTATTCTATAATTACATATTATTTTAATATTCAATGTTTCATGTTACGAACCACCAACCTTGTCATATAGTTTCTTCAATTAATTCATCTATCCCTAAATCAACGACTTACGTCCGGATAGGGAGATACTCTCACAAGGTGATCATTTAATAATAATAATAAGAATAATATTAATATATCTCGATTCATTATAGGTTTTGATGTCGAAAACAGTGTTCATCACAATGGTCAGCGGTTTGCTCAATTTGAAAATATCAGGAGAATTATATTTTCAATAAAGTATTTTGATCAATTATAATCATACCGATCCTAACAAAAGACCAGAATGATAATAACAATTTGGAAAAATAATATTCTGCTGGACTAAACGAGAATTCTTCACACGATGGTCCACTATGAATTAATTTTGAATAAATTTGAACTCTGAAAATGACTGTGCAGCAAGAATATGCGGACCAACACAGATTTCTCAAAGTGGTTTGCAAGGTGATTTATGAAGAATGGCTGGAGCGCGGTGGGAAGGAATTCAACAAATTCAAATTGTCAAGAAAATGAAATTCAAGACATTGGAATGCAGATTGCGATTTTGACAGATACTCCCCATAATTGATATCTGAATTAATATGACCATAGCGAACTTTCTTAACAATTGCCTGACAATGTCAAAACGAGGAGAGTCGCAATGAATATTTAAAAGATTAAATCATAGTTTTAATTTAGCATATAACTAAATCGACACAAATGTTACAAGATCCAACTCAACAATATAGTATTTGTAACATATTTAGTTGCATATATCAACAAATCTTATAGTCAAATCAATAAATCAATGTTGTTTCAGTGTTAATGATAATATCAATCAGCTTCTATCATTTTTATCTTTTAATTTCATTTATTTTCATCAATATTCCAAACATTTGTAGCTTTGGTGAGGTATTCCATCTTGCGACGTCATCATTCAATTGTTACTTGGGGTCAATAAAATCCCTTTTCAGTTGCCGCCACTTTTCACAACACAAGATATGCTCACATGCGCGCCGCGGTTTTGTGAAGAAAACTCACATTTGTTCACTTTTTATCATTTGTCTCATATTTTTAGCTCTGTGAGCCGCATATTTTTAGCTCTGTGAGCTGTTCAGTTTATATTCAATGTACATTCATCAAATCAAAATTATTCAGATGTTCAACGACATTCACTTTGAAAGTCATTCGACAAATGTCACGAATATAAATTTGAATTTCAAACAAAATTCCAATCTGGAATCACAATCGGACATTTTTACAAATATTGGACATTGGGGCGTTCAATCGCATTGCATGTCGACTGTTGTCGGCAACGGATATACGCCAGTAGATCATAGGCGATCAAGCTTTCAAAGACTTACGGTGGACAATTTTTCTTTATATTTTCACAAAAAATTTCTTTTAAATATTTCATAAATCGAACAACAATTGTGAGTTACTGTCTTTTTTTGTAGGATATTGCTAATTGGAGGGCACACGGAGTTCCAACCAATTCTGGTTCGTCGGACTTTCTGCCTTATAGCGGAATTGCAGGTGGAAGTTCGTTGAGGAATAGAAACCTAGAGGTAAACAATGAATTTTCTATAAATCCTGCAACAATTGTCACTCAATTGCTTCAAATAACTGATTTTGAAGGAAATCGCCAGATGGGGACAGGGAGCCCGCAACTATTCATGGAGTCCTCATCAATTCCCGGTTGGTGGTTTTTTGAGAATTCAGTATTTTTTACACTTTATGATATTCTCAGATGTCTCATGGACATATGGAAAAAAATAGGAAAGTGTATTCTTCGTCTCAGCCTCCAATAAAGACTCAGAATAATGTCTACCCATTCCCCAATCAGGAATGCTATGGCACTAAAATTTATAAAAGTTACGCAGGAAATAGTGGACAACGCTTTTTCAACTATCAAAATCGCGATGTCAGAATCTCATATTTTCTACATTTTTAAGAAATGGACGGGATTTCAGTTATTGGAAAAGTCATATCGCGTTAACATTGCTGCCAACTCACTGATATATTCAGAAGCAGGAAATGAGCCCAGCGGGCTTTGTCTTCGTCACGATCGAAGCAGCCAATTTGTTAGGCGCCGAGAATCGTATGCAAATGAAACGCGCACATTTTCAGTAGAAATTTGTTTCGCCTACACATGTATTTCTAATGTTATTTTATAGGTGAGTAGCTACTCGAACTCCTCCTCAGGTCGCACTACCGGTTCATCGAGCGGGAGCCAATCCTGGTTGCTTGAACCTTCAATGAATTGCGAAACAAATCATTATCCAATTCATCTGACGGATCTTTTGGCCGTCTACTCAAAGCAACATGAAAATGAGACAACTGATACGGAAGCTAGCTTCAAAATTGAAGAAATCGACGAGTCCCAAGATGAGCGATGCACATCGATTTTAAGCACGGTAATGAATGCTCTTGTTAATCAAAATGACTTGTGATTTGAGAAGTTGTCAGAAGTTGGTGGACACGTGCAAAGCCCGAATCACATCGATAAAAAAGACGGGCGAATTGGAAATCAATCGGTGAATTCTTTTTTTTAATTAAAAAAAATAAATGAAAATCGAAATTGGCAGGCTTTCGAGAGAGTCAAACCAGAAAAATCGTTGTTTCTGCAGTTGGTCGACATGTTTGGCGACGGCAGATCTGCTCAAGATTATCTCTCTGCCAACGGATTCATGCCGGAAGATTGAAATGCCTTATCACTTAATATTCCTTGTCTTATTCAATTTCTCATATTTTCTCATCACTATACGTATCCAATTTATTATTTCCATGCCAGTGTACCACGAAAAATCAATAAGAAACGAGAAGAAAGAAATAAAAAAAAATAGAAAACTGAGGAAAACAACGTGGTTAATCATTTTACCGGGATGAAGTCCAGCAAAATTCATATTATTTTGTCAAGGCGCAAGTTTCTTCATGTCGGATAAACTGTGGTTCAGCACACGCACATCTGGTTGTTGTATTCCAAGAAAGTTTTAAAAATTTACAAGACTTATTCTCACCGTTTATGCCTCAAATCAATTATAAAACAGGCCGATGGAACATTGAAAGTCACAATAAAATATATGGGTCTCATCAACAATAGGGATTAGCAATAAATGGGAATCGAATAAAAAGTATTTAAACAATTTTGTGAATAAGCTTATTTGCCTGGATATCCGGCAAAAACATTGGTTGAGCTAGCTTTCATGTTGATCACACTCTTTGCGAAATTCACAGCCTGAAATCAATAAATATAAAAGACTATCACGCTTTTGCAAATGGCTACTTTTTCCACTCGAGACATATCTTTGGTCTTCCCATAAACGAATTCAAGAAACGGGTTCATTGATTCATCGGAGTTCAGAAATAGTTCGTATATCTTAAAAAATATTTTCAGTACAAACCGCTCTCATTAAAATGCTACCTGAAGAGATAACCATCTCAATTTTGCATAGTTCGCTTCGGGATTATTCTCCAACTTGGAACGGACCAAATAAGTGATGGCATTGAGAACAGGTTGCTCACCGCCCCACCAAGCGTGGACAGTCATCGGACTGTTATTTTCCTGAGCAACTGGACCTGAAGAAGCTGCTTGTTGTGCAACAGTTGAAGTATTGTGCGATTCAACGCCAACAGGATGAGCAAGACCATCAATGCCAGTCGTGATAGAGCGCGATTCAATGCTAGTCGGAGTAGTAAAAGTAGCCAAACAAGCCGTAGAAGGCGGAGTAGCTGGAGACTGAACCGTGGCTGGTGTGGGAAGTTTTTCAGCACTCTCGGCATTCACCGCATTAGCCGATGCATCAACGGTTGAACGAGTGATATGCTTTGTGTAACCATGCTGAGAAAGCAACTCCTGAAATATTATATTAGTGAAATCCGCACAAATATTGGTATTACCTCCATAGCCGTAATAGTCGCAATACTCAACTTTCCATTACTTCTGTTTTCCTCCAAAAGTTTGGCGACCTCCGAGAGTTTGATTTTCTTCGGCTGAATTACAGTCGCTTCGGAACTAGAATCATCTTCGCTGTTGCTTCTTCTCGAAGCATTTCTAAAAGAAAATTAAAAATTTGTCAATTAAATTAAATCTGAATTTGATACCTCGATCTTTTCGATTTCAATTCTCCATCGAGTTCGCGTTCGGCGACTCTTTTCGCAACATCGCCGCCGTTCTGAGCAGCCTCGATGTTATTGAAGATAGGATCAACAGGCTCCTGGAAAATATAATTTTTTATTAATATTTTGACAAAGGTATTTACCGGTTTCATTATTGAAGTGTCGGTTGGAAAACAGACAAAGCGATATATCAGAAGTTTAAAAAGAATCTGAAAATATTAATAGTCATAATCGGGAAGAGAACAGATTTCAATTATTTAAATGATTCAAGATTTTCATTGCACCTTTTTGGTGGACTAAATGATTTGGGAAATTTTGTCACAGAAAAAATCAATAAACGAACTCGCCAATAGCCACGCGCGGCTAAATATTAAATGCGCGTACACTAAAATGCAGAGTACGCAGACACGCGCGCGCGTCGCTCTTATTGATTTGGGTCAGGCAACATCTTTTTGTTTTAAAATAGAATTAGAAAAACAAGCCATGCATTAAAAATTATGGAGAATGAGGATAATGCTGAAATGACTTACTGACTGAAAGCTTGCTGTCTAACAAAATGGTTGACCAACAAATCTGGAGTGAATCGATATGAAGGCAATCAAGCGAAGTTTGCAGTGATCCCAAGATGAGTAAGAGAATTCCTGAAAAGAGCACAAAATTAGTAGGATCAATCAACTCGCAAGCAAATATCCTTAAAACGATATAAAATCAACGGTTTAAACAGAAAAATGTTAAATACCGCTGCTATTCATGAGCGCACGCGCACACAAATGAATACGCGTGTGGCGCAAAAATGAGAAATGAGAGTTCGCGCGCTATAGTGCAAAAAAACACGCGCGCTCAGCAGCCACGCGTTATCAGTGATAACCATCTAGAGTGTCCACAGCGCAGTTTTGTCGCGGATATTTGTTTCTAATGGGTTTTGATGTCTCCATAGAAGATTTTTGGATTGAGCAGTGTGTCCAGATTAAGAATAAACTATACAGTTGAAGAAAAATCGAAAAAAAATTGACATTAGGTGCACTATAAAACAATAATTTTTGTGTTTGAATTTTTCAAATTTTGAAGCGACCGTGTTGAACTTCAAATATGTTTAAAAAAATAAAATTTTAAATGATTCTGAATTAAATGAAAGTAATAGCAGAATTTGTAAATTGCGAGACCAATTGTAACGGATGGATCCATTAATCGATTTAGATACAGAATCTAAAATGTAGCTTCAAAAGTTTTATTTGGAAAAAATTGATTTAATATAATAATTTAGTAAAAAGAAAATAAAGAAACATTGTAAAGGAGGTGATTTAAAATTCCGAAGTGCTTATAAGACTTGGAGCAAAGAACCTGAAAGAGAACCTGACAACTTATCGAGGTGCGAATATTCAGATTATTTAAAAGTAAAGAAAATAGTAGGGTCAAATTGAGAAAAAATTGAAACTGTGGTGTACTGAAAAGGCTTATAAACTATTTGAAAAATGCTAGAACGGGTCAAATCAATAAAACCGTGTATTTTAACACCAACGATATGACATATGTATAATATAGTAGATATATTAAGTAATTCGCAATAGCGGGACGGATAAGATTTCTGGCATTTTTGGGGGCTAACACAAAATGCTGATAAAAACGGAAAGAACACATCTTTTAATGAAAAATTAAAATTCAGAAGTTTTACTAAGGTAGAACATCAAATCAAATTATGTGTATTTATCAGACGAGAATTGAGAAGCAAGAAGAGTGATGAGAGGAAGAAATTGGTAATAATAATAATCATGCGTTTTTGGTAGTAAAAATTGCAGTCATTCTTATTGTGAATTTATTTCAAGATTTCAAGATGAGTCATAATTCGTTGGAGCTACATGTGATCTTCCTTAGCTTCATAGTTTCCCTGTTGGAAATTTTTCTTGATATCCACAAATAAAAAGTGGATTTCTGCAAATCTTCTAGCCTGAACGAAACAATGGTTTTCTGATATGTAATGAAATTTTTGCAAAATACCTTATCGAGTCTGGATCGTTGATCGAACGTTCCATCGTTCAACAAATAAAACAACACTGGAAAATATGGTTCCCACTTATGAAAATCATCAAGAATCTGAAGAACGAATAACTACAAATCAATTTATTTTGGCTATAATTTTCACCTCATAAACAAGAGCAACCATTTGTCCACAATTCCATTCCTGTTTCTTTTCCATAATATCGCGAACGGTTTTCATCACTGTCATAGTGATATTTACGTCGAATTTCAATTTCACACCTTGCAAATTGAGACCTGCTAAAAAAATCATAATCAAAAAGATATTAAAAGTTGGAATTTTACCGTCTAACTCTCCATTTTCTTCTTTCAATAACGGAATTAGTTTCGATATGTCGTCAATGTAATCTTGAGCTTCCTTCGAAAAGATATTGTCAGGCACTTTCATTTTGTTCAAGACGTTTAATGACGGATAATTTGGATCAGTCATTAATGCATCGGCATTTTGAATCTTCAGAATATACGGCATGATTATGTTTGACGTGATGAACATGAAATTCAGGCGAGTCGTGCCGTCATAATTGTGTTCAAATTCAAGGGCTCCCGCTAACATTTCATCCAAGACTCTCAAGTCAATGCGATTCTAAAAATTTTGTCAACTTGAATTTTCCAATCTGGGTGTCACATTAAAATTCACCTTTTTCGGATGATTCATGTTTGTAATGCACAAGGATATAGCATTTCGTGCTGTTTCCAAATGCTCATTCAAATCGAACTGCGGTTGAGTCACACTAATTGAGGATGCCATATTTGTCGCTGAAATCAAATATTTATAAAAATAAAATGCGGAATGAAGACAATTCGAAGTAAAGTGAAACCAAGGAGAAAAATGTGCGAGAATTAATTTATTTTTGCACGTGCGTTCATTTGAAATTCGCTATGAACATGGCTTGATCATATCGCTAAGGAATGATCGTCAAAGTTAAAAATAGGATGGCGAATATTGGATGAGCAGAATGGCGCGCGGTAATTTTTGCAGCTTACGCTCTCTCATTAGCATACACTAACTCAATTTGAGAGAACACCATGTGAAGCTGTTTGGATCAACACGGGGAAATCGAGAAACTGATTTCAAACTAAAAGTTGCAGTAGAGAACGACACAGGCAAAACTATCGAGAAGGCGAATCTAATAAAGAAAACTTTTGACTAACAGATGGTTTTGCGAGCTTTTGTTTTGATTTATGACGAACTGGCCTTCTTTTCACTGTTGGCCGCGAAATTTGCGGTCAAAATGAAGTTCGTCCACTATTAAATTTATGATTTATAAATGAGTTGTTTAGGATATATAAGTCTTTTTTTATTGATTAATTTGAACAAATATTGAGGAATAAATATTACATATGGTAATCATTTAACTTAGAAATGCTTGTTATAGATACATCTTAAATTTAAGTGCTAACAAAAAATTAATTTTCTATATTTTTTTTTAGTCTTCGTCTTCAATAATATTTGATTGAAACTTGATTTTATGATTTATTTGTACATTATCAAAATGTAATAGAAACATATAAAAAAAATACTATTGATTCCAACAAATATTCATTCTGTTAAATGTGTTGGGGTTTTCAATTCGAAATGCAGAATATTATCAGACCTCCATGATAATTTACAATCAAACTGAGATAAGTAGTATTTCAAATTCCATCGAACCATTTCCGACATCAATATTCAATTGAAGTGATTATTTTAAATTTGTTATAATCGAGGCCCAATTTTCCAATCGTGTAGGTCGTCAATGTGTGGATAATCTGCAAAAAAATGCATATCCTATTAAATGTGATTATGAAAAAAATTGGATCTTTATTAAAAGGGCGCGAACATCTAAAATTGGCAGTTTTAGAATGAACTCTTTAAAAATCGTTAATAACTCATATTGTCCGCACTGCTCCATATCTGGAATTTGTATTCGTGAAGACAACGATTATTCGTGTTTTATTCGAAAAGAGCTGATACGATCTGAGGTAATATCTGTAGAATTTTTGCAAGCGATTTTTGATATTTAGAATAATCAACATTTTGTTGTCATGATATTTGCAATTATTTTACCGGCAATTATTGGAACTGGACTCATTGGCATGATAATTGCCTTTATTTGGAAATTGAAGCAAATCAACGAGGAACAAGAATGCCAACAAGAAGATAGTTTGGTTGAATTGGAATAAATTATTTATTATGTGCAAGATGCTCTTGTTTTAAAGCAAACCAACTCAATGATTAATCATTCCGGAATTAATTCATATGTTTTTGCTTTAAAAAAAAACAACTAAACGACCAATAAATGTTATAAATTTTTTTTATTGGGTTAATTCAAATTAAAACGCCCTTAAAATCTCAATCAAATTGATAAAATATTACTGACACTTTTAAAACTATATTAACTTAATTTTTTCAATTTTAATTTATTTTATGAGATCACAAAAAGGTTGCAATAGGAATACATGTATTTTACAATTTTTTATTAATTTCGCTTAAAAATTCATAATCAGGGATTTCAAAATTGAGCTCAGGTCTACCTACGCCTACTCTATAAGGTTGAGCTTAGTGTCTGCCTGGATCAAAATTTTAAACAATGCAAAAACAAAAGGAATCTCTTTGCCATCATTTGAACATTTTCTGTGATAGGCTAGAAGCTTGTGTTTGTTTTTTTGCTTTTACCTGAATCAATTCAAACGAACCCAGCCTTGCAGAGCAGAATGGCTCTATTTTATATACAATCCTGATCGTTTTTATTACAAATATTTCATTCACAAGAAACGATTTATGAGGTTTTTTCTGATATAGAGTTAGCTCGGTATAGTTGGGGAGTAACTTGTGTGCCGCAAATGGGACATAAGCCAGGCCGATTTGACAATAAATAGCAAATTTCAACGAGAAAGATCATTGCTGATTTGTCAATGCTATGGAATATTTCGTAAAGCTGCAAACAGTAGAATTTACAGTGAAAATTTTAATAAATTAATTCATACGTCGAAAAGCGACAAGTGTTCGATACTTGTTTTCGCTGACTTTAAACCGAATGGAGCAAATAGCTGAAAAAATTGCATTTTACTATAATTATTATATTATCACTTGCAATTTTTGCAATGGGTATAATGCAAAGTTTGAATAGTATAAATCGTTCTGGAAGATTTTTTGGTTTTTCCATTGAAAATAATAAAAGTGAATGAAATAATGGCAATAATATAGTAGTAAATTGAAGAATTAGAAGCACTTGCTAAATTATAACAAGAACTGCAGTATTTTTAAAATGAAAAAAGATTTACGCTATAAATTGCATTTATTAGGCAAACAAAACTGCCCTCATTCCTATATTGCGAATCGATTTTCTCGTTACAAGTTGTCCGACCAACTGAAATTTGATAATCAAAAATTTTGCACACCAAACATTTACAGTATATTGGTGCCGCTCCAATCGCTGCAAACAATATCAGGCATTGAATTATCTGCGACATTATTTCTCTGAAATTTCTTGAAATTAAATTGTTCTAACAACTATGCATTGTTAACTGTTTCATTCGAAAAAAGTGTGCGTGTTTGGGAAAAGAAAATTCCATAATTCGCATTATCGCAAAGAAAACGATAATGACGTTTTCGACATATGCAATAGTTACTGTAAGTATTTGATATAAAATAACAATGCCAAATATTCCAAATGTCTTTCCGGGAAGTCTAAATTTGAATTAGCAAGCTAAAAATACATTTGATTCAATTTTATATGACCCTGTAACAAATAGAGCTCCAACGATGAATAATATGATTAAAATTGCACAATATCCCAACAACACCGAATTATAGAAAAATTTAAGCACTGGATAAATTGGACTCTGCATAATGTAAAACGAAATAGAAGAATGAATTCCAAAATTTGAAAACCTTGTAATCTTCAAAGCGATTTCGCCGAAATGCTTTTACATATGGAATCAGCAATATGATTGAAGCAATTTCGAGGAATCGAAATGTTGCCAATGAAATGAACCCAAAAGGATCAGACTCAACGTCGAACAGCATTTTGATCAAATCGAGAATTGGACTTTCGTCTTTTGTAGAATTTGTCGACATGATGTAGTTCACTTAATGAATGACAATTTCAGGCGAAAATTTTCATCAGTGTTTAAGACTTCAGCTGTTTTCTGTGAATTGATAAGCCAGCTGTTTTGCACAAACAAAACCAAAAATTAATATTGCAATAACACAAGGGAAAACACTGATTACTGTAATTTAGAGATTGATGCTTGGGAGAATGGTGCAAAAATTCAAAGAATTTAAACCGAAATTTTGAATCACATCTCCGAAAACATTTGATGGTCCCTCAACACCAACGAATGTCATTTTTTGTGACAATGGCAATAAAAGCTCACAATTGTTATTTATTGAATTCAAGACCCTTTTTAGGATACGATTATATGAGATGACGATTCGGAAAGATATGTCGTCTGCGCTCTTTCATTCATTGGAATATCCGAAATTTTGCTAAAGAAACATCGAAATGGGATAAAATACCATTTGTTTCTTATGTATCTTAAAGACTCGCTCAAATTGGTCTTGTTAGAGAGCAAATAACTCAATTCTATAATCAATGCTAGCGATGACTTGTCTACTTCAACAAAAGCCTCGTACAACTGTAAATAATGTAAGAGAAAGTTGTTAAATTGGTGTTTCGACCAACCAGCATCCAGTTATCAACAACTTTATGGTCAATATTATGTATGCGTATAGGAATTAGAAACTGAAAATGTGAAGCATTGAAGATAAATGAATTCAAGCTCTTACCAGTTTGGCTATTGGTATTAGCACAATTTGAAAAGCAATAAACCTTTCCGGTCTTGTTGTAATCGTCGACATCTGTTTTTGTATTTCTCGTACTTGATACAGTATAATAAGGTAAAAAATGAAGGAAAAAATGGAAGAAATTTGAAAGAGAACTAAGATTCGCTGAAATTTGAATTGAACCATTGTTTTTCACAATCAAAATATTACAGAATAAATATTATAAATCATGCATTGCATTTCAATTACTTCATCACTGTCCCACACATCGGTGTCTTCAATCAATCGACATGTGCTGCTCACTACAAAAGCAATTATACTAATTTCTTTTATATATTAAAATGTTACATTTAATTAGAATTGATCCGCATATTACAAAAAGAAACAAGATGGTTATCAAAAGATTCATTGATGATCTAAAATAGTAGAGATTTATTTTTTGCTGAAAATTTCAAATGGAAGAGAAAATCAATAGTTTGCTTATTCGAATTTTTAGATAAAATTCCTTACTGTCTGATCGTAATCCATTTTTCATATCGAGGCATTGTGAATATTAAAACACGTTGAAGAGAAAAAATGAATAGCAGTAAATTAGTAACATTGCATAATGCAGTATCAAAAAATGGCATAGTAATTAGAGGCAAAATCAAAAAAAATGTACCCAATGCGGCGCTTTTTCTAAAATGGGAATGATTGATAATCAATTTTTGGGATTTTTTTTACACAACAAAGAATGAAAATGTAACTGTTAGAAATAAACAAATGAGTGTTATTTTAGGGATAATGATTGAAAAATAGAAAAACTTCATTGCTGGATAAACCGGGCTCTGAAAATGTTTGCTTTTTGCTATTTTTGTAACACGTTCTCCTTACCTTACAATCGGTACTATAGTTTCGACGAAAAACTGCAATATACACAGGCATTAAAAGAAATGACAATATTTTTAATAATGAGAATAGGAACAGTTCCAACTTTTTTA